AAAAGCATCAGTTCTGTGGCACCCAGCCTTCTTTATGGTCCAGCTCTCACATTCATAAACGACTACTGGAAAAACCATAGCTTTGTCTGGATGGACCTTTGTTGGTGAAGTACTGTCTCTTCTTTTTAATACACTATCTAGGTTTATCAAAGCTTTACTTCCAAGGAGCAAGCGTCTTTTAATTTTATGACTATAGTCACTGTCTGCAGTGATTTTGGAGCCCAAGAAAATAAAGTCTGTCACTGTTCCCATTTTTTCCCTGTCTATTTGCCATGAAGTGATGGGACTGGATGCCATGATCTTAGTTTCCTGAATGTTGAGTTTTAAGCCAGCTTTTTCACTCTCCTCTTTCACTTTCATCAAGAGGCTCTTTAGTTCTTCTTTACTTTCTGCCATAAGGGTGGTATCATCTGCATATCTGAGGTTATTCATATTTCTCCCGGCAATCTTGATTCCAACTTGAGCTTCATCCAGCCCCACATTTAGCATGATATACTCTGCATGTAAGGTAAGTAAGCAGGGTGACAGTATATAGCCTTGACGTACTCCTTTCCCAATTTGGAACCAGTCTTTTGTTCCATGTCTGGTTCTAGCTGTTGCTTCTTGACCTGCATACAGGTTTTTCAGGAGGCAGGTCAAGTGATCTGGTATTCCCATCTCTTTCAGAATTTTCCAGTTTGTCGTGACCAACACAATCATAGGCTTTAGCATAGTCAATGAAGCTGAAGTAGGTGTTTTTCTGGAATTCCCTTGCTTTTTCTATGATCCAGTGGATATTGGCAGTTTGATCTCTGCTTCCTCTGCCTTTTCTAAATCCAGTTTGTACATCTGGGAGTTCTTGGTTCGGTTCATGTATTATTAAAGCCTCTCTTGGAAGATTTTGAGCATTACTTTGCTGGCATGTGAAATGAGTGCAGTTGTGTGGCAGTTTGAACATTCTTTGGCATTGCCCTTCTTTGGGATTGGAATAAAAACTGACCTTTTCCAGTCCTGTGGCCACTGCTGAATTTTCCAAATTTGCTGGCATACTGAGTGAAGCACTTTCACAGTACCAACTTTTAGGATTTGAAATAGCTCAGCTGGAATTCATTACCTCTACTAGCTTTTTCGTATGGTACTTCCTAAGGCCTGTTTGACTTCACACTCCAGGATGTCTGACTCTAGGTGAGTGATCACATCATCCTGGTTATTTGAGTCATTAAGACACTGTTTTGTGTAGTTCTTCTGTGCATTCTTGCCACCTCTTCTTAATATCTTCTGCTTCTGTTAGGTCCATACCATTTCTGTCTTTTATTGTACCCATCTTTGCATGAATTGTTCCCTTGGTATCTAATTTTCTTGAAGAGATCTCTAGTCTTTTTCGCCACATCCTCCACTGTTTTTGAGAGCACCCTTAGGTTTGAACTTCTCCGTGCTCTGTTACAAATGAGTTCAGTTTCTTTGGGAAGAGATTAGGGAGCTATCTGTTTTACGACCTGTTTTTATCCTCAGGCAGCTCTAGAACTCTGGGGGTAGGGTAATGGCAGGCTTTTCTCCGAATGTTACCCCTGCTCTGTGAGCTGAGAGCACTCAGTGAAGTCAAGTGTGGGAGAGTGTGCAAGCAGCCTGAGATCCTCTCAGCTTGCTTTCCCCAGTGGTGGAGCCACTGTCTTACAAGCCAGAGCAGGAGTGGTCACGAGCCCAATAGTCTCAGAGGCTTTTTACCCAAGATAGAGCCATGGATTGGGGGCTGGGCAGAAGGGAGTATCCACCTCTTGACTGCAGTGGCCTGTGACTTAGCAGCAGGTACCAGGGAGCAGGATGAGATAAGCTGAAGTCCTTCTCCTCAGAAGAAAGCTCTCCAACTAGGAGCTGGAGAAGGAGAAAACCCTGTGCCTTTGACTATGGCAGTCTGGAGAGGAGTCCTTGCTTCACCTGTAGGGAGGGATGAGGAGGAACAGGTCTTAGTTTAAATATTATAGATCTTTCCTGTCTTACCAAATGTATTCTTGAATAGATGTTTTTCGTTTGGTGTTGGGACTGTTGCCAGAGCCTTTCATTGGTTAGCTTTATTTATTTATTTTTTAAAAATCAGTTTCATTGTCAGCAGAGCTCCTCATGCTTTCTTGTCAGAAATCAATCTCTGGAATTATTTTAAATTGAGGTGTAATTGACATATAACATTATTAGTTTGAGATGTATAACATAATGATTGATATATGCATATATTATGAAATGACCCCAATAAGTTTAATTAACATCCATTACCACACAGTTGGCTTCCCAAGTGGCTCAGTGGTAAAGAATCTGCCTGCCAGTATAGGAGACACAGAAGATGCAGGTTCCATCCCTGGGTTGGAAAGATCCTTTGGAGGAGAAAATAGCAACCCACTCTAGTATTCTTGCCTGAAAAATCCCATGCAGAGAGGAGCCTGGTTGGCTACAGTCCATGTGGTCGCAAAATGTTGGACATAACTGAGCAACTGAGCACACCACACAGTTTGTTTTGTTTTGGTGATGTTAGGGCCCAAATCTTGGCTTTCTCTGCCCTCTGAAGCCGAATAAAAAAATACAAAGACCAAGAGTTTGGAGGAATTAGAAAGGTGGCTTTAATTCTCAGCCAGCAGAGGGCGGAGGAGCCTGGTGGGCTGCCGTCTATGGGGTCGCTAAGAGTCGGACACGACTGTGCTACTTCACTTTGACTTTTCACTTTCATGCATTGGAAAAGGAAGTGGCAACCCACTCCAGTGTTCTTGCCTGGAGAATCCCAGGGATGGGGGAGCCTGGTGGGCTGCTGTCTACTGGGTCGCACAGAGTCGGACACGACTGCAGCGACTTAGCAGCAGCAGGGGCGACACAACAGCCTCATGCCTCAAGAACTGTGCCTCCACTTCCATGAGGAGTCTAGGGGCTCATATAAGATGAGGGCTCACAGTCAGGAGTCAATGATGAGAAACAAAGGTGTAAGGATCTTGCATTCTTCCTCTTGCATTGTTTCAAAAAAAATTATAGAGTGGCATCAGGTAACCCAGTAATTGAATCTGGCAGTTTGGTAGCCCTGTGGCCTTCTTTCTGTAGTGCAAAAAGAGAAAAACTGAGGGGTGGTCTATGACGTGAGTGCTATAAAGGTGAGTACCAGATTCAGGATGTAATTCACACAGAGTCAAAGAATAATAGGTGCAAAATGTAGCTCATGTCGAGTTAGGGGGCAAAAAGCAATCTTACTTACAGACTAGAGATTAGGATTGATGCTTTTGAATTGCGGTGCTGGAGAAGACTCTTGAGAGTCCCTTGGACAGCAAGGAGATCAAACCAGTCAATCCTAAAGGAAATCAACCCTGAATATTCATTGGAAGTATTGATGCTAAAGTTCCAGTCCTTTGGCCACCTGATGCAAATAACAGACTCATTGGTAAAGACCTTGATACTGGGAAAGATTGAGGGCAAGAGAAGAAGGGGCTGACAGAGGATGAGATGGTTGTATGGCATCACTGACTCAATGGACATGAGTTTAAGCAAACTCCAGGAAATAGTGAAGTACAGGGAAGCCTGGCATGCTGCAGTCCACGGGGTTGCAAATAGTCGGCCATGACTGGGTGACTGAACAACAACAGATTAGGAACAGTTAAAGTAAAAAGTAGGAATGATCAGGCCTGCTCACTGTTCTCTTTATCTTCTTTGTTCTCACTAAAGGGAAAGAAAAAACTTAATTCCTCTTTTTTCCTGTTTACTGCAGCAATGAGAGGAATGGTTTTAAAAGCATGAGAGTTATCTTCTTTATGTACCTTAAGCATTGTTGTAATTCATTAGTGAGATAATTCTAGAAATCATTTTTCCCCTGTAGCTTTATAGTTTATGATTTATTGTAATCAGAATTTGTTTATACAGTAGTAATACTTGTTTTTCTATTGAATCCTTGCTGTGTATTAGGCAATTCACAATTTTCCCATAATTAATCTTCACAACAATCCTAGAAGGTATATATACTAATGTTATCTTTATTTTATGAACGGAAAGCTGAGTCATAAAGATCACTAAGTAGTTTGACTAATTATGCCTAGATGTTATTATTTTAACTTCTTTGTTGGGTATAAGTATTTTATAATTATTTAAGGCTATTAAATAAATATATTTACTTGCTACCTCATATCTTAACCTAAATCACCATCCAAAAAAGTAATAAAATTTTTAGTTGTCTATTGAAATATATTCTATTCCATGAATTATTTCAGTGAAGTTTACTGCGGAAAAAGTGTTACTAAAATTTTCCTTCCTTAGTAGCTGTTAGGACTTAAATTTGTTGTTAGCATGAGAGATATTTTTTCAATGGACATCTGAAATTTGGAAAGTCAATGTAACAGTAACATTTAAATAAATTTGAAAAGTGTATAAAAAATATAACATCACCACCCTAATATTTTAACTTTATTTTTGTAATTGCTTTCAAATTCTTGTCCACATGTATATTTTATGTAGGTTCAATAACAGCATATTCTTTCCTTTTGACAAAGTGAGCTATTTGAATACTTTAAAATAAGTCAGTTTAAAAATAAAAGGTCCAAAAAGAAAATGTTTTTGCTTTTTGTAATCTTAAGAGGTTAGAAAAATCTTTGATAGAGTAGAGAGTATATAAAAGCTACATTACCTTTTATTTTTGTCTTCTCATCCTAATCCTTTCATCCCAAATATTTGCATGGAACACACATTGTCTGTGAAAGTTAAGATCAATGGCTAATTTGGTTTGAAAGCTCTCATATGATGTAATCATAGACAAAAATCATTTTTCATTAAGAACTTGTTAAATAGTTTTTGTAGTATTTTAATTATATTCCTGAATCAAAGAAATTTGGAAAGATAGGAGTTTGAGGGATAAAAGTTAAAAGAGTATAATTCATCAGTATGAAAGAAAGCTTCTTCTTTTTAAAGACTCAGTAAATGTGTATAGCTGCTGCCCTCGGGTTGATATAAAGCACATTATTAAAAAATAATTTGTATTGAGATTTATCTTTCTTCTTTCAAAGGTGTTAAAATCATCACACAACAAGTTCAACCAAGTAAAATCTTACCCAAACCAGTGACAGCAACTCTGCCTACCAGTAGCAATTCCCCTATTATGGTGGTTAGCAGTAATGGTGCAATTATGACAACTAAACTGGTAACCACTCCTACTGGTAAGTTATCTTGAGCATCAGTCCATTCATTCATCATACTCATTGAGTAATTTCTCTGACCCAGTAATTTGCTTAACATTGGGAATATAGAAATTCAGGAGACAATTCTTCAAAGAGGCCCCTCTTGACTCTTCTCTCCTCCCAACTCAAATTAGCTCTCTGCTGTTCTCATGGTCCTCTTCTTTTCCTTTGTAACACATACTACAATTTCTAATTATTTAGGTAGTTTTTTTGTCAGTTTGTTTGATGTTAATCACTTTATTAGCTTGTGAGCTCCATGAGGATAAGGGTCCATATCTTATCTACATACACCATATCTACATATACCATATGTATGTAGAGCTGATCTGTAAGTAGGTGTTCAGTCAGGATTTGCTGAGTGAATGAAAACACAGTCCCAGCCCAAGAGAATCTCACCCTGATGAGGCTAAGAGTCTTTGTTACATTATTGTATGGTAAGTGTTAGCCTGACTGAGAGAAATTGGATGCTGTTTTCCCTGGTTATGAGAGCATCCAGACTATGGCCCAAGGAAGTGACAGTATAGAACATTTTAAATAATACCATCCTTTGTTACTTTGACCAATTTAATTCCTCTCAGTCTTTTCCATTGTCTATTTCAATGTGATCATAATACCTTTACTAAATCTGGTATGTTAAGTCCCCAGGAGAGTGCTTTACTAGCCATTACTATAAATTAATGTTAGAATTAGTATTATCCATTGCTGTTATTTTAAATTTGTGTAACAATTACCAGACTCTTTGAAGAGGGTCAAATTTAGATGATGAGATGAAATTGTTGGATGGCATCACTGACTCAATGGACATGAGTTTGAGCAAACTCCAGGAGATAGTGAAGGGCAGGGAAACCTGGCGTACTGTAATCCATGGGGTCATGAAGAGTCGGACATAACTTAGCAACTGAACAACAACGGATTTAGATGATAGAATCTGAAGAGTGTAAAGTGATTCCTTTCTCAAGTTTATAAGCTATCACCTATTGGCTATTGTGTAAAAGTGTGTATAAACATTTCCCTTAATCTCCCTTAAGCTTTAATGTCTCCGTTTTCAGAGACAAAACAGAAATTTATGTATAGCAGCATTACACAGCCACACAGTCTATAAAAGACAGGACTGGAATTTGAATCCAGGACTGTTTGACTCCCAAAACTTTTTTTAAAAAAGATTGTGATAAAATGTAGATAACATGAAATTTATCATTTTCACCATTTTTAAGTGTACAGTTCATTGGCATTAAGTACATTAATGTTGTTTTGCAACCACTGCAACCATCTAGCTCCAGAACTTTTTTGTCTTCCCAAACTGAAACTACCCATTAAACAGTAACTTTCCATTCCCACCTTCTTCCAGTCCCTGACAACTGCCATTCTACAGTAATCTACTTAATCTGCTTAATCTTCTTGCAAAGCCTATGCTTTAAAAATAGTTTTTCTTTTATTGAATCTGTTGTTCTTCACCCAAAACTTCTCTCCATTTGGTTTTACAAAGATATGATTCCTCATGTTAGGAAAAGGTAATAAAAAATAATGTATGCTTATGTATCTATATTAGAATAAGTGTTTCTGCAAATTTTAAAACAAAAGCTAAAGTTGAAATATTTTCCAGTTATAATTAATTCAAGCTATGTATCTTCATAGCATATTTATTTTGTACTAGATTTATTTTTCTGATTTAGATGCATGTTTGTAATCAATTTAAACTAATTCTGCTTAATGTTCCTTTGCTTCTTCCCTTTTTTGGGTAGTGATTGTATTTTAAAATGGTAAATACTAACTGGATAAAACCAATTTTAGGGGGGTTTTGAAAATGATTATTACAGTGACTTCTGAACCTATTATGAGAAAAATGTTATCAGTTGAAGAATGTGTTACCTGAATTATCTTCTTTCTCCCCAGAACTAACTGTTCTTAGAAACTTAGGAATAGTGTTTCTGAGTTACCAGATATGTGAGAAGCTACAGTAGGTTAATCTGGTTAGTTTTATTTATAGTTAAGTTTATAGTTAGTTTCTTATTTCTAAGTTTTAGAAACTTAGGAATAGTGTTTCTGAGTTACCAGATATGTGAGAAGCTACAGTAGGTTAATCTGGTTAGTTTTTAGTTCCTATTTGGGGGAAGGAAAAAGTCCTAGAAATAGTGGGGAAGGGTGTAAAATCTTTTTGAGAGATATGAAGAAAAATATTCTAACAGGTCAGTTAAAGTTGAGGAAATATGTAAATGTGAATTTTTTTGGTAAAAAAAATATTCCTGGCAACTCTTGGCAGCTACAACTTTAATCTTTAGTAAAATTTTGGAATAACTCTTTAATGATGGAAATGTATTTAGACGGTAGCAGAGTACAAAACAGTAAAAGTTTCTTAAATTTTAGGCAAACAATATACTGCCTTATTTGCTGAGTGCTGACATTGGATTTGGCACTGAGACAGCATAAAACAGATGCAGAGACCTTGAAATGTATAACAGAAATATCTAAAATGCTCTGGTAGGAAAGATGATTAAGTTTCTTTTGGCACCAAGCTAGTGGAAGAAGGGTAGTGGAAGAAGGGAACAGAGTTAGTTATACTTTTTCTTGGGGTTAGTAATTTGATGCAACACATCACAAAATTTTATGTGTAAAGTTAATTTAAATTGAGTTGGCTGTAGTTCCTGCTATGTGCATTGAAAACTGGCTGTAAATTGTTACTTAATGGCTTGACACCTTGAAATTCCATTTTCAAGTTAAAGCAATGTAGATTACATTGAATTACAGTTAAACTGTATAAATTGTCATTCTTCTAAAAGTGATGACAAGTTTTTTTCTTGGCTTTTCCCTTTTTATAGGCACACAGGCAACCTATACTCGGCCAACAGTGAGCCCATCTATAGGTCGGATGGCTGCAACCCCTGGAGCTGCAACCTACGTGAAAACTACCAGTGGTAGCATTATTACAGTAGTACCCAAATCATTAGCTACCTTGGGGGGCAAGATAATTAGCAGTAATATAGTTTCTGGTAGGTATATCTGAAATGTGTTAAAGGTATAGGTGACCAATAAGAGGAAAAAACATTTCACTGTCAAAGGATACTGTTTGATCTCAGTTTTCTGCTTAGAAATCTAGAACTTTGCTTTTAGCCCTTATGTCTAGTGATGAAGTATAGTTTTTTAGTTCCACTATAAAAATCTTTACATGTTAAGCTTTTGAGAGTTTTAAAATAGAAAGAACATTTAGTTGCTTTTAATCAGAATGGAAGGATTATAGTTTACATTTGCATAGAGATGTTTCATTTACAAAATATTGTCCCATCTATCAATTCATTTCTACCTCAAAATTCTGAAATAGTTGGTGTCATCTCCAGTTTATAGGTATAGATGTGTTTTACATTTCGGAGATGAACTAGACCTGTCCAAAGCCACATAAACTAGACAGTGAAAGAACTAGTATTTATTTGTCTAAATATGTTTGTGGGATCATAATCTCAGTTACTAACTAGTATTTATTTGTCTGCATATGTTTGCGGAATCATAATCTCATAGTTTCAATTACTAATATCACTTTAGCTTATTAAAAATAAAAATACTTGATTCATTTTTATTTGCCTTTCACCATTTATATTGGCTATTTACTTTTTAAAAATATTTAACTTAGATAATGAAAGCTAATATTTATTGGTGTTTTAGAACCCTACCTGGTTTTTAATGGCTCATTTATTCCTGCAATATTTGAGTTGTGTACCCTGAAGTGGAATGTTAACATGGTATCTATTTTCATTGATTATTATTTTTTAATTAAAATGATGTGAATAATCTCTGACCAGGCAAGCCCTGTGAACTTTTACTGTCTACCATTTTTGTAGACTAGCCATATTTTGTATGCCCCCAGTGAATTGTTCTGACATTTTAAAGTGAAGGAATTGAAGTTCCTGGCAGTAATATGATATTGCTGATAACTCAAGGAGTGGAAAAAAAACAAGGCAGGGCGTGGTATTGGCATAAAGCTCTATATTTAAAGCTGCTAATTTTGGCTCTGGTTTTTAAGTGTAAGTGAGAAACTTTGATGTTTGCCAAACTAAGGAGGGTGAAACCAGTAGGGAAAGAATCATCATACTCCAGCTTTTAAGAGGATATTTTAAATAACACAGTTAAAATTGTAATTTATTACCTGACAATATCCTTAAATAGTATAGAGCACATACTTAAACATTTTTCAAAAAGTAATCATGTTTTTTATTAGTGTATAACTTTTTATGACCATAGGGTATTTCTTTACTTAGGTAAAGGAATGTCACGAAGCCTGTTGTTTTCAAACCTTATTTATGATTTAGCTGCTCTGTGTGAGGTTAGAGCAGTATACACAAGCACATTTTCCTAGAAGCAAAGGGGCAGTGAGGTATATACCCTACACTTGTAAACACATCATCTACCTTTGTTCTAAAATATAAAGTAACTGGTGGTTCATTGCTATTTCAAGTGCATAGATGTATAGGGGAAGAGTTCTTAAACCTTTTCAGCGCTGTAGGATGTAATGGACTCACAGCTGAATTAGCTCATGGAGCTCATTTTGCCTCGACCTCTACTTCGCTGTTTGACACTTTCATTCTAAAGAACTTCTCTCATTTCTGAGTACTTTAATCCTTATGTTGTGTGTCAGTGTTTCTTAATATATTCTTGTTCCATGATACTGGGATTATTGGTCAGTTTATTTAGTTTTCAATCCCTGTCTTTTCACAGTAAACCAGTAAGCCAGGTTGAATGAATTTAGACAGTTTTCTACCTTCATCCATGATCAGATGCTGGATGCTAGAGTCAATGCCCTCACTACCCCCACAACAAAAAAGAAATGCTTTTCTTAAAATACACTCATACATCTGGCTTTAAGAATAGAAAGCTTTTTAAAAAAATAATACTTTTATGTTTATTGTGGGAAATTTGGAAAATACAGAAAGGTATACAAAGAAAACTAAAAACCTATAATTTTTGCCATCTAGGGAAATAATCTGTATCTTTCTGTTTATTCCTTTTTCTATTTAGATTTCTGTATAAATGTTTTTGTGTATATATGTATATTTTAAAAATTAAATTTAAATCTATATAATCAGTTTTAATATTTTTTCATATAATAATATCATTTCCTCATTCCATTAAATATATTTTGATACCTCACACCCTAGATTAATGACTATACAATATTCTCTCCTATAATGCACCATAATTTAATAGTTTATTCATTGCTGAATGTTTTAGGTTACTTAACAGTTTTTTTCACATTGAAAATCCTATGAAGAATATTATTATACATAAATTATTATATGAAATTCTTATTTCCTTTGGTAATATCCTGGAAGGCAAATTCATGCTTCCAGAGTACTTTCTAGAAAGATCAAGTTTTTATTTTTATTAGAATAAGCAGTTAAGTTGAAGTCATGACTGTTTTTGCAGTTATTTCATTTATATCTTATGCAGCCAAGTATTTACTTATATGTATATGTAGAGAGAGAATTATCAGATATGTAAGTCTATTGGTGAGCTTTGTTGAAGGTTGGTTGAAAAATCATGTCTATTTTATGTAGAAGATGGATCCTTTAGAGGTAAAATCATTATCTTGTATCTAAGGACATTATGAGAACCTGTGACAATGGCAGGACTTGATTTTGATTCCCCTTATCTTTAGTACAATGTCTAGGCAAGGGGCTAGTGTTTGTATATTTGTTCATTCATTCATTCATTTGCTCATTGTTTGAGCAGAGTAACATAAAAAATTACCCCCGAAACCAAAATTGCCAGTGATTTAAGGATCAGTGAATAATAAAATCTAGGCCAATTAATCTGTGTTCTTTAAGCCCACGTTCCATAATGCTCAAAGTTTTACAGGCATCTTATTTTTGAATAGGAATCTCTGGAATGCGTCAGTGTCATAGCCTATGATCCAACTGTGATTCACAGTTACTTGCACCTATTGTATTTTGACTCTTTATAAGTAAAGACTGTGTGTCTAGGTGAGTTCTCTAATATGCTATGAGCTAGATGTGGGGTTGGGTGCTGTGATACACAGTGATGTACACAAGGGACATTCTGTGCCCTACAGGATGCTAAATAAGTGAACTTTATACATTCTCTTGTCACATGAGAACTATAGGCTGAATACTATGAAAGCATAGAGGAAGACTTTTTTTAAAATGAGTAATACTTCTTACTTCAATATAATAGATACCACCTGAGATACAAAAATATACTATTAGAATTTTAAATTTTTATAATTTGATAGTTCTAGTTATAAACCGTATTCTATCTTAATATAATGCTGTACTTGCTTTTCCTTATGTTATGCCTTTTTCTTCAGTTTTCTAACACCCCGCCTCCCATTTTGTTAAGCTAGGGAACTTGGTTTGCAGCTATCTCACAAATTGACACACCTGTAATAGAAAGGATTTGATATTTTCATAGTTATAAAGATAATTCATTTGTTAAGTAAGTTTTGTCAAAAATGTGATCCTTATACTTTGCTATAAAGTTAAAGCTTGGTTTACATTTCCTTGAGCTAGTATTTAATGCTTACTTTCTAAAAACACTTTTTTATTAACCAAATATTTGGTGAGGGAGCATTGTCAGAGAAGACATCATAGTCAATCACATATGAGGAATTGGAGTTAATAAGAGTTAAAGTTGATAAAAGCAAATAATAGGCAGCTTGGTTTTTGTGGCTTTTAACAACTTACTATTCACAGACCACAGATAAAGGAAAAAATATTGATGGAACTGGCCCATAGACAAAAGTGCTTTTTTATGTAACCTGAGCACCTTACCTCTGACTGGTGAGGCATTAGATGATGGCAAGTGTATTATATTGTAACAAGAGTGCCAAAAATTGACACATGACTAGAACATTCTTATTCTTATCAATCTTATTTCTGAAACAGAAGAGAATGCTAAGGTTTCTCAGTAGAAGAGAATAAAATTTTAATTTTTCTTCTCAAGAGTATATTAATCAGTCATGTATTTAATGTGTATCCATTCTATGCTTAGTCATTTGATAAATGATATGCAAACCTGTAGAAGAAAAATATGACTTGCCTGTTTGCATAGCCACAGGAAATTGTAGGTTAAAAGGGCGCATTGGGTCTAGTATGCTCAAGGACTGATGTGGAAATCAGCACACTGAAGAAGAGATATATTGGGTAATCCTGAAAATTAAAGTCTGATGAAACCTGGAGGGCTAAGCTGAAGAGTTTGGTCTTCGTGTGGTAGATAATAGGAAGCCATAATAAAAGAAATTACTCGTTAAACTATAGAGTTTATGGTGTACATTGTGCAGTGGGAACAAATAAAATCAAATTATAAAGGATTTTGAAACCCAAGAAGGGAAGTTGAAACTAAATACAGTGGGGATTTGAAAGGTTTTTGACCAGTTTCATATGTTGTTGGTTCGTGGCATGGTGAAATGAGGTGGTGGTTGTTTGTTTGTTTTTTAAGAATGTTTGCTATGGCAGGATACATCAGAGCTATTTGCATGACAGAGAAACTTGAAACTAGGGAGAAGATACAGGAAAGCAAGAGAGATGTGGGCCTGTTTGTTGAGCTGACATTGATAACATTTTGAAAGAAGACATTTGTTATGACAAATTTAGTTCATTCATATACTCTTGAATGATAACTTGAGTAATTGCAGTACGATGTGTGCTAAACATTGAGGAGTCAGTGGCATAAAAAATTACAGTTGGAGCTAAGAGACTTCATTTTGTTAGTGGATGCAGAGTGAAGACAAGGCAAGAATCAAAGATTTGCACCAAGATTTCCAACTTGAACAATTAGAAGAGTAGGGGGTATGGATATGATAGGAAGATAAATTTGATAGAAGAGAAACAGGTTGTGGAAGGATGTGGGGGAGAGGGTAAGATACTAATATGTTTGGATTGGTAGATATAGATCTACTATATAGATCTTAATGATTGAAAATATAAATTTATATATTTAAGTGTATAAATTAGGGTTTCATCCTCAGACTTTTCAGAATGTTGCAAATTATAAGAGTACACATTTCATCTGATTTGGTCTGGGACTAGTGTTTATTTTCTTTTTTGTTCACATAAAAATAAATGACATTTCTTTTTCATAAATTTTCTCTATAGTCTAGTGTTACATGAGAATTTTGATATACATTTACCCTTTTTTATGTTCTTTTTTTGAAGCATTTTCCTGTCATACTAGTCACACAGGTAATACTATTGAGTTTGGGAGAAATGTTTGTCATGAAATAGTCTAATTTGTTTCAGTTAACTAGTCAGAAGAAGAATATCAATAGGGAAGCAGATGGTGATATATTTAGATTCCGAGTTTGGTATGTAGGTCTTTAGATTCCAAAAAGATGAACACTGTAAGAATCGATTCTTAACATTCTTTCATTCTAGGACAACTTTTAATTTATTATTCCAAGGCCTTCATTTTCATCCTCATGACAGCTTTGACATCTCTGGGGGTGACACTGACTACATGTATTTAATTGTGTACAACATAAATAGAAATAACCAAATATCACTAGTCCTTAACTCAGGCCTCCTTTTCTCCCCCCTTCTCTAAGGAACGACTACCAAAATCACTACAATCCCCATGACTTCCAAGCCCAATGTGATTGTTGTGCAAAAGACTACAGGAAAAGGAACGACCATTCAAGGCCTCCCGGGCAAAAACGTTGTCACAACGTTGCTAAATGCTGGAGTAAGTAAGAGCTTGAACTGCTGATTCAGCAGTCTACTAAGGATTTTAAAGACCAGCTATATAAATATTTGTCTGAGGACTTTAGAACCCACAATGGCTAGAATGGCTTGATTTACCCTTACTGTAATGTAAAAAACACCACCTACTGATGCCATTTTTACAGTAATTTCTAAAACATGTTGCTCATAGCTATGTTGCTTATGACTATGATTTCAATCTTAGCTTGGTTCAGATGGAAGATTCTACCAGCCTAACTCAGAGGGAGCTCTGTCAGTGGACAGTTTTATTCCTGCTTATGGCCAGTAGATACCAGTCTAGTACTCGACGTAGGTTAGGCAAAGAGAAATATTTGCTGCTAAGACTAAATTAATGACAAGGATTTGTTTCTTTCATTATTTTCTTTTTTCAACTAGTGGGAAAAAAAGTAAATTAGAGAGGCATTTATAGTTCTGAAGGCAGTTGTTACAAGGTTAAGAGATTTGAAGTTAGCCAAACCTAGGCTTTGTCTCTGAGTATCATAGGTGTTTGGCTAACTTATTCAGCTTCTCTCATCCATAATTTCCTCATTTGTACATTGGGGATGATGATCTCTACCAGTGAGTTTGTTGAGTAATGAGTAACTAACTGGTGACTGTTTTAAAAGTGCTTAAAACAGTACCTGGCACATAAATCCTCAATAAATTGTTTTTTCTTACTGTTATTACACTTTGTACTTAACTATAGAGGTTTGGTAATATATCTACTTTGCTAGAAATAAGAATACTATACTTCATTGTAGTTCATCTCTAGTGGCTTCCTTGGCATCATAGTCTTTATGGTGCTGGTGGGTGTCTAGTGTTAGATTTTTTCGTCACGTAGGAAAGCATAGATTGTTCCTAGCTTCAGTTGGCTTACACAGTAAGCCAAAAATAAAGCCAGAATTAGAATATAGATTTTCAGAAATTACATGGTTTGTAATTTCATGGAACTTGATATTAAAAGAGAGGGGAACCATGTACTCTAGGTCCTACGGTCATATAGATCTAAAAATAGTATGTGTGAGTACTAGCTGCCATATATATCTAATAGCAAAAAGTTTGACACAAGAAATGATAGTTAAACAAGATCAGGGTATAAGACCATCCTCTTCAACCACATACGTACATGCACCTATACTCGTAACTTGCTTACCTGTGCATGTACACACACACACACACACACACACAGCCAGAAGAGCTTTTTCAAAAAATAAGCCTGCTAGTTTGTTTTGAATGGGTCTTTATAATTATACTTGGACAGGGACCATTGAGCTTCTTAATAGAAGGGCACATCCACTTGCAAACTAGCAGCTTTTGGCAAATGACTATAGAGCTCTTTCCAGAGATGCTGCTGTGAAGGGTGTGTTATGTATTAAAATAAGTCATCACATGGCTGGCAGACACTCCATGTTTTCCTTAGATTATTGCAGCAGATATTTAAACTTGTGAAGTTTGTAATCATTTAACCTAAATTCACAGAGTAATTTACCTTTTTGCCAGTTCACCTAGGTATTTTGTTTTTACTGGCTGCTAAATTTCAGTGGCCACACATTTAGGTGATGGTGACTGAAAAGAAAAACTGATTAGGTGAAAAAATTTTAGATATTTTCCTTTTTAATTTTATGGATTTTAATTTTTAAAATTTTAGTACTTCAGTAAAATGACTGTATTTGAATTTAATTTGTTAAGCTCAAGTATTGACTCCATAAATGATCAGAAAATAGTACTTAAGAATAAAGCAGATGAAAATGTAGAAAATGGTGAAAAGTTAATGGGCTTAACTACCTAGTTAATAGACTAAAGTGATATTAGTAACATGCTAATGTGGGAAATGTCCTGTTTTTTCTTTGTATTTTCCAGTGTAACCTCAGAAAAAATGTTAATATCACTGCTGATTATATTTCTTGCCCATACCATTTCACATAGACATTCTGCTGGATAGCCTTATAACTTCATATTTGGGAAATTTAGTTTATTTTGTATGTGAACATTTAGCTATTGGTAGAATGCACAGTAATTTTTTTTTATTACACATATGTTTATTTTATATAAACTGTCACATAAAGATGAATGTTGGGGGAGCACGACCTGTAGTTCCAACATTTAGAGATAACCATTGTTAACATTTTAGTATATATTCTATAATTTTTGACTCTCTTTTAGTATATACATTCTGTGAATGACAGAGAATACTAAGTATTCTTAAATAAGGTAATTTTTAAAATTCACTCACCAAGAAATATTTACTGCCTTCTTCGGACAGAAGGTTGATCAGATGACTTCTAAGATCATTTCAACTAGTTCTAACATTTTTGATCACCTGGAAGCTTATACTTTGTTGCACGATTTGCAACCCTTTCCCCATCATCCTGGTAAAACTTTCCTATGATTTTTCAGTAAAAGGACTTTTTCCCCCCATTTAAATGTATGTAAATCTCATGTATTTACTGACTTCAATTTAGGGAGAAAAGACTATTCAGACGGTGCCAACAGGAGCAAAGCCAGCTATTATCACTGCTACAAGACCCATCACCAAAATGATTGTAACTCAGCCAAAAGGTATAGGTTCCACAGTTCAACCAGCAGCTAAAATCATCCCAACAAAAATTGTTTATGGGCAGCAAGGGAAAACACAGGTATGCTAAGATATGGTGATTTTTCTTGACTCTGGTATATTTCAAATTCCTAAAATTCCAAGGTAGAAATCTGAACAAAAAGATGAGTAACATTAAAGAACCAGATTATTAAAAGTTATGATTGAATGTTTATAACCATCTGTTTTCAAAACCTGTGTTTCTCTTTTCAGTACTTCAAAAAAATTAAATATTTGTGTCGTGTCATGAGCAAAATTTAGAGAATAGAATCCCCTTGGAGTAAAATTTGCTGAAGGTGTATGTTGTTATTTGAGGAGTAGATGGTTGACAGAGGATGGTAATTATTCATAATCTGTCAAAGAATATTTTTGTATAAGCTTGTATGACCTTTGAAAGCACTTCAGATATTTACTTATAAAATTTTATTTTCTTGAAACCTAAATAATGGAGAAAGTAGAGATCTGTTCATTTTTCAACCAGTAAATGATAAGGGAGCTTTTCTAGAAATTTACCTGGGAAATTGGGTTGCTGGGCTACTGTTTATTTTGCAGGTATTTTACTTTTTTGTGAATATCAAAGGAAATGATGTCAACTTTGGTTGAAAAATGCTATTTTATAATTTTTGTAAAGATAATAATTTATCTATAAACTAATAGTTTGCCTTTAGAATCAGTTTCCCTCAATATTATAGCCAAATAGTTTATATATCAAAGCCATTAGTTTTGTGATTTTCTAATAAGGTCAAATTGCTTTAAATTTCAGTGGTAACTGTTATATTTGCTCCATCATCTTTGTCATAACCCATGTTTTCATTCTTGAATTTTTGGAAATGGGTGACTTAATAGAGTCTGAAAGATTTAGATTCTTATAAATGGAGAAGTAAAAAATAATTGTGGTAAAGTAACATTTTCATTCCATGTACCTAATTGAAGTTAACTCCTGGAGTCCACACTTTGAATTGAATGGTTCAGTGTGAAACTTTCTTCCCATTTCACTTGTTCTACTGTCTGTGGTTTTGACCTTTGCCAAGAGCTGATCTGTCACATGTTCCATATTGACTATAGTAGTTGTCTAAATTGTGGCTCAGCAGTAAAGTATCTGCCTGCAATGCAGGAGATGCAGGTTCAATCACTGGGTGGGGAAGATCCCCTGGAGGAGGGAATGGCAACCCACTCCAGTATTGTTGCCTGGAGATTCCTATGGAGAGAGGAGCCTGGTGGGCTACAGTCCATAGGGTCGCAAAAAGTCAGACATGACTGAGCATGCACGCACACCCAGTTGTCTAAATTAGTGTTCCTTTGAAGATTTCTTAAAAGATGACTTAGGTCCTAAGCAAGATTACTTTGTGCAGGTGTGTTAATTAGGAATTTCATTTGGTTGCTAAAAAGAAACCTGAAGAACAGTGGCTTAAACAAATTAGGGTTTTATTTTTATTATGTTGATAAATATTTAGAGGAAGGAAATCCTGGACTGTTATTGTGGCTCAAAAATTCTCCTGGGAGATCTGAGGAAATCTTTCCTCTTATGCTGACTATGTATAGTATACATAAATACTTAAATTCTATCACACACACACAGACACACACATACTTCCCCTGGGAATCTCGGCTCCTTGTGTTGTTCTGTTCTGCCGTCCTTAGCTTGTGGCTGTCATTCTACCATATAACTGCAGATTGTAAAAGGATTCCTGAAGTCATTATAGCCAAGAAAAAACAGGGCAAAGGCTCTTGTCAGGATTGTAGCTGTTGTAGCATGAAATGTATATGTGGCCTGGTATAATTGATTCATAGATTGAATTTGTGATGATCAATGCTGTGCCCCAAGTATAATAAATGGACAGAGTACGATTTTCCATGTCAGGAAAATATTTATTTGATCTAGAAGTTAAACATATTTTAAATGCTCAAAAATTTATACTGGTTGTATTTCCACTTGTCTTCTAGGTTCTTATTAAACCCAAACCAGTGACGTTTCAGGCCACAGTTGTTAGTGAACAAACAAGGCAACTGGTCACAGAAACATTACAACAAGCATCCAGGGTGGCAGAGGCTGGTAATTCATCTATTCAAGAAGGAAAGGAAGAACCACAGGGTTATACAGATAGTAGTTCCTCTTCTACAGAGTCCTCCCAAAGTTCCCAAGGTAAGACCCATTTTACTTCCGATTTATATAATTATTGCTGAGATTATGCCTTAGTTCTAAAATAGTTGAATCTAAGGATCTCAAACAAATATGTATACTTTGACTTGTCAGTTCTTTTGATTTTATTGTCTAATGTTTGATGTGAGCAGAAGTTTTGTTTTTGGTAAGGCTTACCATTCTTGCTTGCCTGGCATATGTTCATCAAATAATTCATAAACTAGATGATGATTTTGGCAGATAGGTATTATCAAACTGGATAGAGGTGTGATTCCTTTTGTTTGCTTTGAGTAAGTAGAAGTGTGCAAGAAAGTGAGTGTACCTTTTGAAATGATTTTTGCTGAACCTTGAGAAAGGATCATGGTGGCCGGAGATGGGCCTATAAATGGGCTGTATGTGGGTGTTCATATATTGCAGTTTGCATGGAATAAGTCTTAGTTTATTTCTGTTCTAGAATAATAGCATTCTCTTTCACTCTCATAGGTGTTCCAGTTTAGATGATAATTGTGTGGTTGTCCTAATTATGAGGAAAGTGATATGAAGCCAGGCTCCATAGTAGGGAAACTAGTTATAGTTAGTGCTATTTTAATAATGTTGTTTTAGGGAGTCCCTTGAAATAAACTCAATGATCATAAGCTTTGAGATTTTCTATAAATCTAGTACCTGTGCCTGTCGGTTACCTTAACCACCCATATTGATCATACACTTTGAGACTTTGTACAAATCTAGACCCTGATGCTGGGAAAGATTGAGGACAGGAGGAGAAGAGGGCAACAGAGGATGAGATGGTTGGATAGCATCACTGACTAAATGGACATGAGTTTGAGCAAACTCAGGGAGATAGTGAAGGACAGGGAGGCCTGGTGTGCTGCAGTTCATGGAGTTGCAAAAGAGTCGGACACAACTGAGTGACTGAACAACAACAACAAATCTAGTGCCCGTGTGTGTGTCAGTTTTCTTAACCACCCAGGCAGTATATTTATGTCAGTACTTATAAGCTCTGATATATCGAAACAGAACTGTTTACCTTTCTTTGATCATTCTTACTCACTCTGTTTCCTCTCCTTACTTCCACATTATTCTCTCTGGAATGCTATCTTAGCACCTTCACTTTTTCAATACAGTTTCTTCATATTGTACAGGCATTATTATTTTAACCCTTTAGTGGAATCATCCCAGATTAGTCTTACTAATGGTTCATATTGCTAATTATTCCATTAATTCAATTTGAACATTTATTTTTAAATTTATACTATCTAATAAGCTTTATGAGAAAGCTTCATGAAGGAGGTAGCATTTGAAATGGTCTTTGAAAAGTCATTGATAAAAAAATAAAATATTGATTTTAGCAAACAGTATGTCTCTCATTTTATAAAATGGATTATTTTCTTCAGCATATTATCAGTAATAGTAATATTTTCTGAATCAATTTGCTAAGGTTTAATTTATCATTCTATATTGGTTATGAATCAGTTTATGTCTGGTTACAGTGGAGTCATATTTACTCAATTTCTTTTAGACTTACTGATTTGATGTATATAGATTCTGTTCTTAAACTAACAATAAGATTCTTTTTTCCTCTTTTATTTTTAAGTCTGTACTTATGTGAATAATTCCAGCTGTTTTTTCCTTTGAGAAATGTTTTCATAAAAGGCAGGTAAAATGTTTAGGTTATGAATTGGTGCTGATATGGGAACTTGAACAGTAAATTATATATACATAATCTCAGGTTACCTTTGAAATTGCTGGTTTTTTCCTAAGGGAGCTATAAGCCAGTCATTACTTCCCTAACATGCCATTACATTAGGGAGTCTTTAGTTTTCATTCTGAGAAATGGACAAAAGCTTGACAATTTTTGGAAATGATTGAGTGCAGTTTCTTGCTCTTTGATCTGTTATTATATGTGGCATAATTTATTTTTACTTTTGTTATTTATCTTTCATTGCATATTACTTCTTTTAAAATATTTTATAATACAGAAAAAAATCACCAAAGAGGGATATCTAATATAGTTAATTATAAAGCCAGTTTTTAAAAATATTTATGTATTTGCTTTTTATTTGGCTGTGCTGGGTCTTCACTGTGTCATGCAGATATTTGTTGTGCTGCGCAGCTCTCTAGTTGTGGCACACAGGCTCCAGAGCGTGTGGGCTCAGCAGTTGTGACATGCAGGTTTAGTTGCTCTGCAGCTTGTAGGATCGTAGTTCACTGACCAGAGATCAAACCCATGTCCCCTGCTTTGCAAGGTGGTTTCTTAACTACTGGGCCACCTGGGAGGTCCCTAAAGCCAATTTCTATAGTCTTCATTTACTCCTCTCCCCATTTCACTGTATAGTTTCTTAGTACATTCTCCAAAGCCAAGGAATTGGGAATATATATGCTGTGTTATAAGAGAAAGGGATAGGTTTTGCTAAGTCTAAGACTCAAGTTTGGTTTTCATACCTACTGGGAATATAAGCACTGTATAACAGTCCGTTTTTTTCTTTATATTGTTTTTGTAGTTTTTAGCCCACCTCTCTTTAGTACTTTTAATGTAACTTCAAATTTATAAAAAATTGCAGGAATAAAAAGAACTTCTGTGTCTAGTCTTTTACTAGATCCACCGCTTATTTATATTTTGCCCTATTTACTTTGTTGTTGATTCTCTTTCTGTGCCGCCCTCTGTGTGTTTATAATTTTTGAATTTTTTAACCATTTGAGAACAAGTTGTAGATGTCATGCCCTTTATCTCTAAATACTTATATTTGTTGGCTTATATTTCTTAAGGGGTAGTCTCTTTATAACTAAAATACAGTTATCAAAATCACAATTTAAAATTTTAGTTGTATAATCTTCAATCCATTCAGATGCTATTAACTATCCAATCATGGTCTTTGTAGTTTTGCCACTACAACAACCTACCCCCACCACCAGTCCACGGTCCACATCAATATTATGCATTACATTTAGTTGCATTGTCTGATGTTTATCATTTGATTCAGCATGAATTCCACAGATGTGGTGTATCCTTAGCTTTATCTTATCAGAAGGCACTGATGTCAGTTTGAAAGTCTATTATTTGTTACGTAGTTGATAGTTGGCATTCTACTATAAGAATAGATCGACTTTTCTTGATTTCATATCCTTTTTCTAGTGACTTCCTATCCTTTTTCTAGTGACTTCCTTTATACTAGTCTTAGAATAAAGATGTCTTTTTATGCCAAAGGATTCCTTGATTCTACTTGTGGTTTCTAAACTTTCCCCACCATTCCCTGCCTGAAAGGAGAAGCAGTTTAGACCTTATACCTTATTTCTGAACTATCTCCTCACGGGCTAGAAGAGACCTTCATCTTCACCTTGTTATGGCACTTTCCTTAATCACCCTGGGAGGGTTCATTACTGCTTCTATACTAGGCTTCCAAAATTGCTTTGTACTACCAGCTAGTTTATCATTGATCATTTTATTTTGTACTTTTTTTGTTTGTTTAATATAATTATTTTCTTTTCCACTAGGCTACTAACTTTTCAGAGGCAAGCATCATACTCATCTCTGTATATTCAGTATTTAGTGAAGAGATTAGCTAGCTCTAAGTAGACACTAGTAAAAGTTTCTCTGAATGAACAAATAAAACAGCAACTGTAACAGCAACTGTGGCACAGGGTTAAGCTTCAGCCTTATAAATTCATTTTTGTTGCCTGAATCCAAAACATTTTTTCCTTTGTGGGGTTTCTCCTAACCTAGTGAGTGGACCTTTTTCTATACACCTGAAGTATTTTTACATACTGCTAGACAGCTAGATGACCAACTCTAATAGTTCAGGGTCATACTTGCCTAGGTCGCTAAATGAAAATTGGGCCACATGCCTTCCACAACTCCTCAGCTTTCCTTCCTATATGAATCTTCTTTTTTCCCCCTTTTCACTTGGGAACAGTGTTATTGGGCTTATTGGGTTCCATATTTTTTTTTAAAGAAAGAAAAAAGTGTTAAAAGAAAAATTTATTTCCCAAAAAAGGTTTTAAGTAGACTAGCTAGAATACAAGATTATGTGAAGTAAAATGGAAGAGAAAAAGGAGACAAAATCAAGGGTAGGGATTTAAGATGGAACATTTATGAGGCAAATACAAAAATGCATCCTATAAAGACATTGTTTTAAGTAACTTGGTTTCTAGGATGATTTTTCCAGAAGCTTCATGATCTCAGCAGGTCATGGTGAGGGTAAGGAATGAATGAAGGTTAGGCAAAACATACCAATACTTATTGCAGAACTTTTCAGAGTCATTATGTGGTGATATATATTGTGAAAGATGAAGAGTGGCGTATGTAATATAAAATGCCCCCCAACTTTTTTGAGCCTGGAACCCTTCTTTTGCAAAACATCTTAAAGAACTTATGTTCTTTAAGGAACATTTGGGGGAAAGCTGTGTAAGCAGTTAAATACTGTGAAGGCCTTGTTTTGTATGACAGTATTTCAGAGGGAAGATACCTATTACATCATGGAAAAGATACATCTTGGGTTTAGTATAGAATAGATGAATTAGATGCATGCAACATCTGGGAATCATTTTTATGAAGAACGGTAGGTGGAGACAGGACATTTATCAAAGAGAAGAGAAGATGAAGATTGGGTTGGGTTGTGGGGGACACAGGAACTGTTGTCAGTTATCTTAAAGACTGTGACAAAGAAGAGGGAAAAGAATTGGTCTTTGGTAGGTACATGGGCAGAACTAGAACCGTTGAGTAGCAATCAGAAGACCTGTTTCCACTCCATACAAGAAAATTTTCTAATTGTCATAACTGTGCAAAGATGGAAGGGAAACTGCCTTGGAAAACAGTGAGTTCTCTAGTGCTAGATTCCTGGACTGGTGGTGATATTTTGAAGATTTTAACATAGGATCGATGGTAGTATTAAACATACTTTTAGATTTTATTTTTTCTAGCTGAGAGGTCTCATGTGAAAGTTGAAAGTAGCTCAGTCATGTCTGACTCTTTGCGACCCCATGGACTAATATATAGTCCGTGGAATTCTCCAGGCCAGAATACTGAAATGGGTAGCCATTCCCTTCTCCAGGGGATCTTCCCAACCCAGGGATCAAACCCAGGTCACCCTCATTGTAGGTGGATTCTTTACCAGCTGAGCTACTAGGGAAGCCTGAGAGGTCTTACAATTCTATGCAAATATGATAGAAAGTTTTTGTAGTAAAGACATAAGAGACATTCTTCCATAGAGATGCCCGAATCTGCCTTTGGATATAACAGTATAGTGTATATCTCTAGTACTTAACATGTAGTATATGCCCAGTAAATATTTGTTAAATGAGCTATGAGGAAAGATATCTGAGGGTCAGTAGGCCACCATCAACCTACCATCAAGAGAGATATGGAAGTCTGGATGGATGCACACTGCATAATCAAATGGGACTGTTGTTTCAGGCTCCTGCTGTCTCAGTTATTGCACTCTGACCTCAGCATCAGATTTGGTAGGCAGTAGATTTATCTAGTCTAAGTGTGAGCCAAAAGTAGAGAGGAAAATCACTCAAGGAATGTTTTTCACGTATAGGTTCACACTCATTCTGTGTCACAGCCATTGGGGTTGCTGCATTGATTCTTTGTATGGTGAGCTGCACTTTTTGTGTATGGGCAAAAAGAGAAAAACCAGTCTCCACAGTCCCTATGGGATGATGTTATATAGGGTGATGTGTCTGATTAGGTGTTCTTTGTAGAAATGTTTTCTTTTTCCAGTCTTATTTTACCTTATCTCTTTGCCAGTGTAGTTTTTGCTTTCTTCTGGGTATTTAATATGTGTATTTTACAGAATTGGGCTGCAGAGTCATTCTTTGCCTATAGGTCCTTTCACCTAACGAAGGGGTACTTACAGCATCATGAGAGATTCTTAAAATTGAGAACTAAGTTTATATAAAATGAATGATTCCCTAATATAATCAGTTCTCTTTTAAGTTTAATTTCTTATATATGCTCTTAGAATTAGTAAAGAAAAACTGCTATAAGCCTCATGTGGCATTTGATATTACTACATGATGTTGTTCTTCAATCATCTAGGATTTTTTTGAAGTTTAATGGAAATTACACATCCCTGGTGTGGCATATAGTCTACTTAGAGTTTAGAGGATAAGGTAGGGAGTGGAAATAGAGTTTTGCTTTTATGGTAAATAAAAATTCCAGATATTTTGTATATTGATCTTGTTTTTTGGGGAAGATAGGTTTTTTGTTTTTATTTCTGAAGGTCATTCCTCCTGCTTCAACCTTTTTGAACAACTTTGTGGTTTTCAAAAATATAAAATTCATAGAAGGGTGAACTTATTGTTGTACTTATTCTTGGTTTTGGGGCTGCATGAGTTATTTTCTGTGATACTTTCACTGATCATTCCAATTCATAGTAGTCTTTTTCTTTCTATTATATAATTGCCCTAATCATTTGACTTTATCCCAGGATACAAAGCCATACACACACACACACATTTTATGTCTCCTCGATTAGAATCTAAACTTGGGAGTAGGAGTCATGCTTTTATAGCCTATGTAGTTTCTATGTGGTATCTTGGACCAAGGAGTTTAGGAACTTAACAATAGTGTAGTGTATACTACACTTTTACTATTTATTCCATCTACTTATTCTGTAGATGGAAAACTCAAATAATTTGTTGTTTGATTTGATGTGTCTAATATTTACATGCATACTTATATAGCATGAATACAGTAAGCCTTGAGTTAGTTAGGGCTATAATTTATTTTGAAACTAACAAAAAGGCTTAGAATTGAGAAATTTTCAGGCCACAGCCAGAACAGCAACAACAACAATAAAACATTTCTATTGTCCTTCATAGTTTATAAAGCTCTTTTACATATATTATTTCATTATATCCTCAGAAAGCCTGTGAGGTAGAGAGGTAATTTTAGTGTTGCCATTTTAGAAATAATGATACTAAGACCCAAAGAATCAACTTGCTGGTAATTGATAGAGCTGGGACTGTAACCTAAGACTTTGAATTCTGAATGTTATATGTGTCCTATTATATCATGCTGCTTCTAGATCATTTATCCATTTTTCTTGTCAGTGGACAGGATTTCCTTTCAGTGACTCCAATAAGTGTTGACTGAATGCTCAGGTTGTAATACAGAACACATTTTTAGGTGCATTGGGGAAAATAAGACTCATACTGCATTTCGTTCTTATGGTACATGGACATGCACCCACCTACAGAAATGCACACCTATTTATTATAGCAGTTATAACATTGAATTGTAATTTGTCTCTCTACATGTCTGTCTCTCCAACCAGATTGTGTGCTTCTTGAGCGTCATTTGATTATTCTGTGAGCTCCTTTATATCCTCAGTGCCAAATGTAGACTGGCACATAGGTGCCCAGTCTGTTGAATCAATGAATGAATGAATAAATGAATACAGACATGAAAGACATTATACCCTCTGGGAGCTTACAGTCTTTTTGGGGAGATAAAGCATGAAGTTTGTAGTAAAACAAAGATTTTTTAAAAAGAACAAATTGTTTTTTTTTTTAAGAGAAACTTTGTTTATAGGGTTTTTTTTTTTTAACTAATATAAAACAGATTCCCAGCCTGTAGTTCATGTAATTGCTTCCCGGCGTCAGGATTGGTCAGAACATGAGATTGCAATGGAGACTAGCCCCACCATAATTTATCAGGATGTATCCAGTGAATCACAATCAGCTACTTCAACAATCAAAGCTCTGTTAGAACTCCAACAGACAACAGGTATGAATTCACATGCTCAGTTGAATGAAGCATGTTTTCTCTAGAGATGGGTTGTGCTAAAATACTACTACTGTTATATTTTCTTTGTTATTATTTGAGCACATTTCCCCCCTCTGGACTTGTCTATAATCATTGGTTCAGTCTGTTTACTTGTCAGTTCATTAAGATGTTCACAAAAGTACTGAAGGATAGATAGACTGTAGTCTATTGTTTCTATCAGAAGAAAGAAGAAAAAACAGCACAGTTCTTTTCTTCTCTCTCTCCTGCTCAAAATGGACAATCCTGTTGCTTTTTGTCACCAGAAAGGAGTAGGTCTGTTGATTTCTAAGCACAAAGATAGATGCAGTACATTTGCCAATTCTATTCAAGAAAAGTAGAAGGCAAATTGGAGGGCTCCTGCCATCCTGCTTGATATTGGTGGAGCAGTTTTGTGGTCATAAAACATTAAGGGCCTTGCTAACATTCTAATTTTTTTTATCTTCATACTTCTTTGTATAATTTAAGAACCTGAGCTTCCATGCAAAGCTGTTCTCATTTAGCAAGATTCAATCAGTATTTCCAGTTACTAAATATCTTCTATAAACTCTAGGCAAAACTTTGTTAGTTATACTGACTTTTCTATTATAATAGATCAGATATTGTCAGAGTTCTTAGGGGACCTTGGTGATGATCTCGTCCAACCATTTCATTATGGATAAACATACTGAGACCTAGAGAGGTTATCCAGTTGGCTAGTGGCAGAGTGAAATTCCATGTCTTTTGATTCCCAGGTCAGTGTCCTCTCTACTTGTGGAGTGACTTTTGTATTCCTTTGGTTTTATTTTACTTTCTTTAAATGATTATCTTGATTTTATCACATTTTATGCTTGGTGAGAATAACCTGAATGATTGCTTACTGGACTTAATTACTGGTTACTGTTTGTTGTAACATCCACTCTACACTACCCAAAGAATACTAGCATTTATTTTAAGTCTTTGATTTTTTTATCGGTGTTATTTTTGGCTTTAGGCATTTCCTTAGCTCCTTGTCTTTGACATACTCAACTATTTCCGTTAATGCCTTATAGAGGGTGGAAACCAAATAATTTTGTAGAAAAGGTAATAATTTAGAAAGTTATTCTATCCATGGAAACCATTCTTGATTCCAGACCATTCCATAGACATTTTTGCAGGAACAGAGAGACCATATTTTCCTAACAATGAATATTTTTATTCTTCAAGAGTCATAAAAATGTAACATTTTTGGGGTGATTATCTTGAATTTTTAATAGATCAAATTAAACTGGTCACTGTGTTGTGCTCTTCTGGGCCGTTGTGTCCTGGAGCAAATAATGCTTACTGCTTACTCACCCTTTGTTTTCAGGTTGGTGAACTCAAGAATACCAGGTACTGCCTTGACTAAGGGTAAAGGAAATGTTCTAAAGGGAGTGTGTACAAGAGAAACAGATCCAGTGGTTTGGCCTGGTGATAATAGGGTGGAGATTTTAGTCTGAATGCATATGAGTTCTTGCTATGCTACTGAGTATGGTTGTACAGGTTGTGCACTCTATAGCCATACAGTAGTCTGCTCTTTTGTTTTCAACTTCCTAGCTTCTTAGTCACTGCCCATGTGGCACCCCAGAGGTCTTGTTCATTTTTCCATGGACAACTCTGGTTTTAGTACTTGTTTGTAATAAAGTTAATTTTTCCCCTGACTTTTTTATACAGTGAAGGAAAAATTGGAATCTAAACCAAGACAACCCACTATTGACCTGAGTCAAATGGCAGTGCCTATTCAGATGACCCAGGAAAAGAGACATTCTCCTGAAAGCCCATCAATTGCGGTGGTAGAGTCAGAATTAGTTGCTGAATACATCACTACTGGTAGGTGTCCTTTTAAAAAGTAGTATTAAGGTAGGAGTGCTACCTTTCTGGATTTCATGGGATGATTGGGGGAAAATGTATTTTTTATATTTCTTGATCGCTTCCAGTTTTCTCTGAGAACAGATTCACATTGTCTTTGGAATTTACCCTGTCTTTAATGATTAGAGGGAGAAAATTGATAGATTTTATAAAGTTTGCAAGTAATATAAAACTGTAGTTGGCCTTAAAGATATCTGTGAACATCAGGCAGTACTGGTAGTGAGAGGATAGAATATCTTTTCTAGGGGAATAAACACTCATATACATTTGGATTTTTTAGTTTTGGGGAAGGGGAGGTGGGTCAAGGGAGAAAGAAGGTATAAAATCCAACCCTCCTCCCCCTTTTTAATGTAAAGAAAAAAATGTGGAAACTTTTAAATCCTTATAAATAGTTAAGAGTTGTGATGGAAAGCACATTAGGTATTTATGTGGTCTGGCAGCAAAACACTGATGATATTTTTGGATGGCATATGTAGAGAAGTGGAGCAGGAAGGGTAATAGGTTCTTTCATATTCTGGTGAGACCACACCTGGAATACTGCTTTCTGTTTTAGGCACTCTATTACTTCGAGATTTGGAGAAGTTCAGAGAGTAGTAACATGAATAATTAGGGCTTAGGAGAGATGACTTACGAGGCAATATATAAAGAACACCTGTCTTCTGTTTTCTTAAGCATAAGAGAACATAGAGTTGCAAATATTTGAAGGATGTAAATACCAAAGTGGAAAAGGAATTTTTTGGCATAATTTTAGGAGATATTGTTAAGACTAATGGATTAAAATTGCCAAAAGGGAAAATCCAATTAAAAATTATGTAAAGCTGTCTAGCATCTTTCTTTAGAGATACTTAGCAAAAAGCAGAGGGCAGTATGTTGGGAAAATCGATAATAACCTCTGGGGATAGACTAGATTATCAAACGGTAAATAGATAACAAGACCTATGATATCTTCCCTTACTTATCCTTTTCAGAGCGCACTGATGAGGGGACAGAGGTTGCTTTTCCTCTTCTAGGTAAGTGGTGTGCATCCATTTGTAGTAAAAGTGACTGAAGGTAAAAGATGATTGTTTTGGGGGCAAACCACTTAATGGATGCGCTCTACTCTGATCTGGTAGAGGAAAGGTAAGCTCTACTCAGTAAAAGGGAGAGAGACTTTCCTTTTGCAGAGTAGTCAGATTCTTTCTCAGAAATGAGCAGTTTGACATTGAAAAATAAGAGTTGTTTAAAGAAATAAGTGACTGTTTTATGGTGTTTATATGGCCCAGATAAAGGTCACTTCATCTGTTTTCTAAATATCTACTCTGTGACCTCCCTTCTATAATCTTCTCCCATCATATCATCAGCCTCACTGAGTATTTTTTTTTTTTTAACTTCAGAGCCAACTTCCTGACTGTCTTGTATTATTCTGCAGTGGATGTTATTTTTCTTTAACTTACCTGCACTCTGGGGAATTACTATGAAGAGATTTATAGTATCTTGAATTTATAGTATCTTGAGGATTATTTATTCTTAAATGGTTTCAGTTGATCATCTATGAAATCCATTTCATTTCTTAATAAATGTAATAATTATGAAGATTAGGGTGGGCAGCAAAAATGTTCCATATAATCTGATAATTTCATCAGAAATTATATTTATTATTTTTCAAATGTCATTCATTTCTGATGATGCTTCTATCAGTAAAAAGCTTCATTGATTTGCTTGCTTAGTTTTAATATTATTAATATGATTTGTTTTTTCTCTTACTCAGTTATATTGTAAATGATTTCAGTATTTGTTATTTTAATACAAACCATGACTCCCTTTTTTCCAGTTTCGTTGAGCACATATGAAAGATTTTATTAACTCATATAATTTAAAATGTATATATAAAGCTTATTGTGAAATGCAGTAAGATACTATGGTGCATTTATAAAAGAGTACTGGTGGTGCTGCCTGTCACCTCATATCACATGTAGGCATATATGTAGCAACAACAGAAAAACCGCATTTGTGGGACTTCCTTGGTGGTCCAGTGGCAGACACTCTGAGCTTCCAATGTAGGAGGCCTGAGTTTAATTCCTGGTCGGGGAACTAGATCCCACATGCTTCACCAAGGATCAAGGATGCTGCATGCAGTACTGGGACCCAGTGCAGTCAAATAAATAAATATTAGAAAAATGTTCAAAAAAAAAAAAGAAAAATGGCGTTTTTGAATATAGATAAAATGTGTTATAAAAATGAAGCTTATTTGTTTTTCACTGGATAGCTTTAAAGTTCTATACTCACAATGGCACTTTTACATTGATTTTGTAGTGATCATCTTATCCTTGGGCATTTGACTATGACTTTTCTAAGTATGGAACCACTGGTACTTGAAATTGTAGATCAAGATATATGAGAATTAGAACCATGGATTATTGAGAGGTTTTGATATTCTCAAAATCCTTAGCTAATTTTACAGATTTATTTTTATCTGTTTCTGATTCAAAAAGTTGGTTTCCAGTAACTATAAACATTTTTAAAGCTCTGTAGAATAAGAAGTGTTGAGTATTTATACTGTTTAAAAAGTTGAAATTGAGGCTGATGAAAAGTGATAGTTTGGCATCAACATAGATGTGTAGTTTAAATGTGTAGTTTACTCCATGGGACCTTCCAGCAAGAGACTAAGAGGTGGAATTATTTCCTGAACTGTACTCTTATTCGTTTGTTTTGGATGAGCTGAATTTGAGAAGATGAAAGAACACTGACTTTTCTGTTATTTTGTTAACTTTATATTTTGGTACTTAATCTAAGGACCATTTTCAATTCATTACTTCATTTGGTCCTCTTCTAAGAATGAAATTTTATCCTAATAAAAAACAAAAATAGACAAAGTAAAACCTCTGAATTTTAGAGATTAGTAACATAGAGTTTAAGTGACCTCTTCAATTTCACATAGCTGATTGGTGGCAGAATGGGACAGAATCCAGTTGTGACTGTTAATCCAGTTCTCTTTCTGCAGTATCACCTTGACCTCCTAAATCTTTAGGATATGAGAGAATGTCTTTTGTATATAAAGGAGTGAATGCTTCTGGCTTTTGTATTACATTTAGAACTGGGATCAAGAGGTTAAAAATGTGTACTGTCTCACTATCCTTAAAAATATTAGTCTAGGATTTGATTGCAGAAATTGATTGTTGTTTTGTTACCTTAATGGGGTAAAGGTCACTGGAGAAAGAGTGCAACTCACAGGAGGATGTAGCTTTAAGGGATTTGTTCCTCCTTTGTGGTAATAGTTTTCACAGTGCCTCCACATACATTTCTCATCTCATCCTTATAATAGCTCTGTTATTCCCATTTTACAGATGAGGACACAGAGTCTCAGAGAAGATAAGTGACTTTCTCAGAGTTACACAGCTCATAAATGGGCAGACTCTGGTCTTCTGCCTCCTAGTACCACACTTTCTCTCTGTGATGCAATCTCACAGACAATTGTTTAAAATGACTACTGGTTACAGATGCTGTGGTGATTTCTGGAGAAATATCATCACCTCCTCTATTTTCAGTCAGCCACCGCTCCCAGCCCCAACAGCCCTCCCAGCCTCAGCGGACCCTTCTCCAGCATGTGGCTCAGTCACAGACTGCAACACAGACATCCGTGGTGGTGAAGTCCATCCCAGCTTCTTCCCCTGGAGCAATCACCCACATAATGCAGCAGGTTGTATCTCTTCTTTTTCCTTCTACCTTCTGTAGCTGCTTCCTTCCTGAAATAAGATTCAGTTTCATCTCCTATTATAAGAGGGGAAATAACTAAGTTAAAGAGTGTTAGTGTAGTTCTTTCATCTGTGAGGGGTGAGTAAAGGAAATGAACTGAGAGTCTTAACACCAGAAAGTAATTAAGAAATAGTATTCTTGGGTCTTCTGTGAACTCTTAACATTTCAAAAGGGTAAAGCTATCTAGATGAATCTATGACATCAGAATTGGTCACTGTTTCTATGTATTTTCTTGTTATGGAAGGGTTTATCACTGAGGCAAGATTTTCAAATGAAATAGAAGTTGGCTTCTTTAAGCTGTTTGATGCTGAGATTTTCATTTGTTTTACTTTTTGCTTTCATAATGAATCCTTATGGGAACATTAAAAATAAGTAGATAAATATTATTTGACTTCTTTTACTGAATGTGACCAATTGAGGAAGAGACTCAACAGGAAGGAAAATGAATTAATATAAAACAGAAAATGTGGTACCAAGGGTAATGGGGAAAAGGTAAAAAATACATTGATATATTGATTTTGTGCCAGATACTGTGCTTTGAGCTTTAAATGCTTTAATTTATTTAATTCTTGCTTTGAGCCTGCAAGGTGATTGTATCACCCCTCTTACAAATGAGGAAACTCATGCCCATAGAAATTAAATAACCTATTCTGGATGGCAGAACCAGGATTTAAATCTAAAGATTCCTGCCTCTATTATAAAGTGATATCATAAATATCAGATTTAAGCATGACTTATCATTACTCAACTGGTAGCAGTTGACCGTAATTACAGGCAAACTACTGGAAAGGCATGAAGAAACAGTTGAATTAAAAACCTGTATGCGTAAGGTCATTATGAGATAAGGGAGAGTTTCCATTGAATCTCAAAGTTTTAAAGTTTAAGTAGATGTGTAGCATTTGACAAAGCAGTGGGACAGATGGGATTGAGATGGATCTTTTGTCACTGAGGGAAACCAGATGGCCAGAGATTTTGCTGGGTGTCAGCTCTTAGCCTGGAGTCTGGCCCTTGTCTGGCTGTCCTGACATTGACTTTTCTCAAGATACCGGGGGAGGTCGGACAGCTGGCTCTAACCATGTCACTCAAGATCGCTGCTGCCTCCCAACAGTATTATAACTGATATCAGGCCATCTCTGTTTCTCCTAACAGGAGTGCTCTTATTGCTGCCACAGTTTCCTACCCTCCAGGGAGGGAGCCAGGTGTCTGAAAGCCATTGCCTGGTGGGCTTGGAACCTGGGCGAGGAGGGTTGGGGCAGAGGGCATATCACTCAGACCTTGGTAGGCCTGGCCACCCGTCTCCACCCTTAGCAAAGAGGCCCTTTGCGGAGACTGGGATGGGCACAGTCCTCAGACAATGCCTACCTCCTGGACTGTGCTAAATGGGTGCACAGCACACGTGGGCTTCTCTGAACCTTGAATTTTCTCTGGATACCTCACTTTTGGGTTGCTGCATTCTTCCTTTGGACAGATGAACAGCTCTGGAGCTGTGTCCTGAGCCAGGGAGCCTTTTCTTTTCTCATCTTGTGCTGTGCTTGCAGAGCATCCCTATTTTTCTTACCTTTTAAGTTCTGGGCCCTCTGAGACTTTTCTTACTGCAGTACATTTGCCAGTTTTTGCAGTACTTAATGTCTAAGAGTTGAAATTTTAAGTCTCAATCTAAGGCTGCCTTTAGATTTAGAGACCTTGAGAGTTTTTTGGTCTTCTTAGGTTTTCCCTTCTGAAAATTTTGAATGATTCTCATAATCAAATCTTTTCCAATTTGAGGAAAATGTAGCAATATAGGTGTTTTTCTTATTTCATTCTTACTTTGTGCCTTTTTTACTTAGGCATTAAGCAGTCACACTGCTTTTACCAAACACAGCGAGGAACTTGGAACTGAGGAGGGCGAGGTTGAAGAGATGGACACTTTAGACCCTCAGACAGGTCTGTTTTATCGATCTGCCCTGACTCAGTCACAGTCAGCTAAACCGCAGAAACTTAGCCAGCCACAGCTGGAACAGACTCAGCTGCAAGTGAAAACTCTGCAGTGCTTCCAGACTAAACAGAAGCAGACCATCCACCTGCAGGCAGACCAGCTCCAGCACAAACTCCCGCAAATGCCCCAGCTTTCCATCAGGCATCAGAAACTCACCCCTCTCCAGCAAGAACAAGCACAGCCCAAGCCAGATGTACAGCACACACAGCAACCCATGGTGGCCAAAGACAGGCAGCTTCCTACCTTAATGGCACAGCCCCCCCAGACTGTAGTACAGGTGCTTGCAGTGAAAACCACGCAGCAGCTCCCTAAACTGCAACAGGCTCCGAACCAACCAAAAATCTACGTGCAGCCCCAAACCCCCCAGAGCCAAATGCCGCTCCCAGCCTCTTCAGAGAAACAGCCGGCAAGCCAGGTAACGGAATATTGATAGCATGCAAAGTTAAACTTCTCTGTTCACGGAAAAAAATGAAAACATCACGACCCTATCGTGATTAGCGGTGCATTCTCCTGGCAAGAGGAAACTCAAAAGCCTCATTACGCTGGTATTACTTTACTACATCAGAAGGTTGACATTAGGGAAGAAATGTACGCACTAATATAGGAAGAAAAAAAGCATAGCACTCAGAACTTGAATTTCCAGGCAGTTTTTAATGAAATAACTTCAGCATTGATCAACAATGCATAGATATACCTAAATTATTTTTATTTTTTAGGCATAAAGTATTTATTTCCATGCCTGTAAACTCTTATTTCTGTGGCAGTAATGCTAATAAGTAAACTACAGTCTTTTAAGGAGCTTCATTGACCGTTTTCCTTTGTAGTTTACACCACCACCATTTGGTTAATAAATTTATCTTCTAGATTTCAGAGGAATTATATGTGAATATTGAAAAGAAAAATTATATTAGGGAAAATTAGTGGCTTTGGAGTGATGTATGTGTATATGTGTGTATTATAAATACATATATATATATAGAATATGTTTGTATAAACGTATTTTGAAGCAAAAGATTGAAAACCCCCTACCTTTATTTTAAAAAGCTGAAGATTATATGAAATGATTTGAGATGGGTTTAAGGTGTGCTGTGTGGGGATGTAAATCCCAAGGAATACAAGGCTGCTGTGACTTTTTTTCCTTTACTGCTATGAACCTTGGCTGGCTGAACAAAGGTTCTTTTGACCCCTCCTCTTTTTCGCTAGGTTTCTTAAAAGTAACCAGATACTTTCCCATCAGCCCTCTTACTGAAACACCAGGCTTCAAAATATCTTCCTAATATACAGCACAAATGTTTCTTTTGCCATTATTGTCTGGGGTGTTTGATAGGTTTTCTCAAAGATATGTAGCTGTAACACACACAACCCCAATTTGTTTTCAGGTGGAGCAGCCAATTATAACCCAAGGATCCTCTGTTACAAAGATAACTTTTGAGGGGCGCCAGCCTCCCACAGTTACAAAGATAACTGGTGGCAGTTCTGTGCCTAAGTTGACATCACCAGTTACAAGCATATCTCCCATTCAGGCCTCTGAGAAGACAGCAGTGTCAGACATTTTGAAAATGTCTTTGATGGAAGCTCAGATTGATACAAATGTAGAGCATTTGGTAGTGGATCCCCCAAAGAAGGCTCTTGCCACTAGTGTGCTCACTGGTGAAGCAGGATCATTACCCTCCACCCATGTGATGGTGGCAGGGATGGCGAATTCCACTCCCCAGCAACAGAAGTGTAGAGAGTCCTGTTCAAGTCCATCTGCTGTTGGCCCTCCCCTAACAACAAGGAAAATCGATGCACCAGGAGTGCCTGCGACAGGCCAGTTCATGCGTATTCAGAATGTAGGCCAAAAGAAAGCTGAAGAGAGCCCAGCAGAAATTATCATCCAGGTAAGAATCAGAAGGAACACAAGAAATCTTGGGTGTCTTGAGGGTTGTGGGTTTGGTGTGTTTTGGGATGCCACAGGAAGAGTCAAGCCAAAATGGCAAAGAGATTATCAAATTTGGCTTATTACCTATTACAAATATATAAGTTTATAATTATTTTTTGAAACGGAGTCCTAGAAAATTGATAGATATTGTCACAACAGTACACCTCAGAGACAGTCAAGGGCCCTGAGCCCTTGTGTCCACTTGATTCATAGATGCAAGCCACACTTGCCAGTATTGACTCAGCAGTCAACCTACAAGATCAGCAACTTTCCAGGTCAAATTTTGGGCTTCTCAGTCTTTGCCCAGAGTATAAGTAGTTTGTACTTCTGGGATATAACTGGATTGTACTCCTGTTTCAAGTTAATTTCAGAGACCCTTGTAGAAACATAGTTCTTGATCTTGATCCAAATATATGGTTTTCAGCACTATAAAATCTTAATTAACTGAAATGTCTAGAGAACCATGTTGTAAGAGAATGTTTCTTAGTAATTTAATTTTGTAACTAACTTGGGATTAACCATAAAGCTTTGCTTTTTATTTCAATCATTATATTATTGAAAAATCTTATTATGGTTACTCTCCTGCCTTGGTAAGTACAGGATAGTGAACATGATGGATTATTCATTGACAGTAGATTTTCCTATGCCTCACAGTCCCTTCATTCTAAAACTCATCTGTCAAAAAAAATAAAATAAAACTCATCTGTCATCATATATAATCCAGACTGAAGAGTTACTGGGTCCAGACTAGCTTTTAGAAGTTATGTTTTATTTCCCTCTCTCCTTGCAAAGTTTCAGGTTTTTTTCTTGACATTTGTCATTTTTTGCTTGGAAGGTATCAGAGCAGCACATTTTAGTTAACTGAGAATTTGGATTTATTGAAATGTGGATAATCTAGTATTTACTATGGATGGTAGTATTTATTGTACTATATTGTGTGACTTAGATGATTCTGTAGTAAATTTTGCCTTTCCTGTGATCCCAAGCCATGAAAGAATGCAAATTGACTGATATTAACCCAGATAGGATTTATCTTAGTATAGGGGAAATGCTTAAACGCAAATAGATCTGGCCATTGAATTATTCAAGCATTTTGTTCCTGTCAAAACAAATAGTGAACTAAATAATCGTTGACCGAATGGATTTGTTACGTGTTTTTTCCCGCTGAAGAGGTAGCATGCGTGCTAAGTCGCTTCAATCGTGTCCGACTCTTGGCTGCCCTATGAACTGCACCAGTCTCCTCTGTGCATAGGATTCTCCAGGCAGGAATACTGGAGTGGGTTGCCAAGCCCTTCTCCACTGAAGAGGTAGGGTTTGGTGGAAAAGGAGGTTTTGTGGCTTTGCTATTCACTCTGTGACTTTGGGCAAGACTCTTAACCTCACTGTGCCTTAGTTTCCTCATCAGTAAAATGGGAATAAGGAATGCCTACTTTATGTGATTGACATAAGGATTATATAAAATTGAGATGAAGCACCTAGCACAGTACCTGACTTGTAGTGATTGCCCAATATATGAAGCTATTCCTGTTTTTACCAAAATTTATTGTGGCCCCTGGGAGTTTAAGTTCTTTAAGTTCATATACTTCTAAATTCAAAATTATTTTGAATAGCTTATGTGGAAATTATTTTCTATACTTCATGAACAGGGGTGAAAATGTAATTTGCTTCATGTATCAAAGATGATAGCTAATGAGTAGGTTCTCTGCAAGAATACTGAGCTAATTTTTAGTGTTTACTATATGCTGGGTTAATGTGTCACTGTGTCAGAGGGAAGAGCAGCATTAAGGACCAAGCTTTTGGAGTCAGAAATAGCTAGATTTGAATCCCACCTGTAATCCTTACCTACTTTGTGGCTTTGAGCAACAGTTAACCTCTGTCCCTGTGAAGAAGAGGAAACAATAATAGCTCAAAGAGTTGTTTTGAGGATTGAGTGAATATCTGATTAAGTGTCCTATATAGAGTAATACTCAATAAGGATAGCTCCTGTTGTTATAATCATCACTAACAGATTGTTAAAACATTTATTTTCAGGTCTCACTAGTTATGCTTAGCTTTGACCCAAAGTATTGATTTTTACTCATTCAGTAAAATACCTACTGACTTGAGTGAAAGAAGTCTGCAGAAGTTCTTTGATTTCTTGAAAAATGTTCTGTACAAATTCAGCATGTTTAATATTGAGTACTTTGTAGACAGATAATCCATATTTCTTTTATTCATTCATTCATTCATTCATTCATTCATTCCACATGGATTATATGACCTCTGTGTTCCAGGCACTGTGCTAGGTGTAAGGATAGAGGAGTAAACAAGTTGAGTTGTATCTTCTATTTTGAAGGAGTCTGTATGTATATGGATTTCATAGAATTTAGATCTGTGGGGATATTTAAAGCATATCTTTTCTAATTATCTTATTTTACACAAAATTAAACTAAAGCTTAAGAAGGGAAGTGACTTATTCAGAGGTCCACAGCAAGTCACAGCTAGAGCTGAACTAAAATTCTGATCCCACCAGAGACTTTTTCACAGTGATCAGCTGTATGGAACAAGGGCAGGAGGGTGAGGGAAGACAAAAAACTTTACCACTTTAGAATCAATGCTTAGGCATCTTGCACTATTTTCTTGATAGTATTAAAACTAAATTTGCATATCCCCTCAGTAGAAGGTTGTTTTGGTTAGGTATATTTTCAAAATGCTGATATTCAACTTTGCTCCTAGGTTTTTTTATGTTAAAGATACATCATTCAAAAAAAAAAAAAGATACATTATTCATTGGGAAAGTAAAGAATCTGCTGGCAATGCAGGAGACCTGAATTCAGTCCCTGGGTTGGGAAGATCCCCTCAAGAAGGGAAAGGCTACCCACTCCAGTATTCTGGCCCAGAGAATTCTATGGACTGTATAGTCCCTGGGGTTGCAAAGAGTCAGACACGATTGAGCAACTTTCAGTTTCAATGTGTGCCAGACCCTGTTCAAAGTTCTGGGTATCTAGCAATGAAAAAGATGGTCAGGATCTGTGCTCTGGTTCAAACTGTCTTGGATCTTACATTCTAAAGATGAGAAGAAAACAAAGAGATGATAAATCAATGAAGAAAATGTTACAGAACATAATAGGGGCTAGGGTTGAGATCGACCCAGTACTCTGGTTTACTTTCATAGAAGGAAGGCTTCTCAAAGCCTTTTACTTGAAGCATTTGAGCTAAGATGCAGATGATAAGAATGGAACCAGCCATGTAAAGATTTGGAGGAAGGATATTCCAGGAAGAGGGGAAGAACTAGTGCACACACCCTATGGTACAAGTGAGTTTGGCATAAGGCTGGAGACACAGTAAGGTTTTTGATCTATAGCAAGAACAGTAGGAAACAATTGTAGAATTTTAAGTAGGGGTATGATATGGACTGATACACCTTTTAAGAAGCTATATAATAAAGTTGAGAAAAAAAGAATCTGACAAGGCAATATGGCCTAGTATGTGTTTACCTTTTGGTACTTTTATTGTTTAAAAGAATGTTTGTCCTCTCTAGCCTTATTTTCAGTAAATATTGTTACTTTGTGACCCAAACAAATAAGTTCACCTTTGAACTACCAAAGGGCTTAAAAATATTGTGGTATCAGTGGATTAATCATTCATCTTACAGAAGCAAAATCTGATGCATTTACATTTAAAATTTGCTTAATGACCAAATAAAAATATCCTCAGAGTCTGTCTCTTGAGAGGCATGGGCTTCAGCCTGCTTTGTTAGAAGAGGCACCATCAAGGAGTGGAGAGATCACTTTGCGTTGCAGAGGACTCAGATTTGAATCCTGGCATCCTAGCATTGACCCCGACCAACTGTGTGGCCTTGATTAAGTCACTTACTATCTTAGTTTCCTCATTTGTAAAATGGGAATAATATTAAGCATCTAGCATAGTGCCTGGCATCTAGTAGTTGTCTAGTTAATGTCAGTTTCCTTATTTCCTTCCTTGTTGTTGTTGAGGATATCCTTTTATTACCCCCTTTTTTTTTAACCATGAAGCTTTTCTCCTCTGTTTTCTCTTCCAGGCCATTCCCCAGTATGCTATTCCTTGCCACTCCAGCTCCAATGTGGTCGTAGAGCCCAGCGGGCTCCTTGAACTGAACAATTTCACCAGTCAGCAGTTGGATGATGATGAGACGGCCATGGAGCAGGACATAGACAGTAGCACAGAGGATGGAACTGAACCCAGCCCCTCTCAGAGTTCTGCTGAGCGATCCTAGTGTTTTGGACACAGGAGTGCACTTTAAAACCTACTTGGTTACCAAGTGTCCAGGGAAGCCCTTGTAATTTTCATGTCTAAAGAGAGCACTTTGCCCATGTTTAGACTGTGGACCCTGAAACAGCAGTGTTTCAACAAGAATTGCTGCAGGAGTAGCATTTTAAAACAAGATAAAACTCACAGGGGAATGTACTTTTTTTTAGAAAAAGAAAAAAGATGCACATCTACAGTGACATAAGACCTGATATTCTTTCTCTATTGGACCATGGCTAATGGAAAAGTTTGTCTTGCAGTGGAAAGAGACTTTTCCTGTGAATGTTCCTCAACTGGTTTCTACTGAGCAAACACCATCAAAAAAGGAGAATGTGAATAGTTTGTATTTTGAAACAGTGTGTCAGGAACGTTTTTGTTATTTTTAAAAAATCTTGTATGTTTTTGCAAATCCCTGCAAGTGCTGAATTGGTTAACATTTTACATCTCCTCAGTTCATATCTTATAAAATAACTAGTTCTTTGATACTGGCATTAAAGAATCCTTGTTAGATGGTGGAAATCAGGTCCCTCCACCAGTGGGAAGTGCTTCTTTGGGTGGTTTGTACATTCTCACCAGTTATATGCTAATTTATTGTGTTGTTGTTCCTTTGTGCTCTAGGCAGCACACTTGCTTTCTATTTATTTAAATGTAAACATTTCAAAGCAGGCCATATTCCTTCTGACAAATTTCCTGTAAGCCAGGATTGTTTACCCTTTCCACCTCCCACCCCTGCCCCCTTTCTCCTTTAAGAAAACTTATGAGAAAATGTTTCATTGTGAAACAGAGGAAAAGAAATATTCTCTAGTCCAAAGGAAATGTTCAGTTATGTTCAGGAAAACAAGTTATTCATATGATGCTATCTTAACACTGAAATTGCACATTCATGTTGGACTGAGACTTTGAAAATAACTTTTAAATACCTTTGTTTAACCCCCTTTGAAATGTATAAAAAGTTCATTTACAGTTCTAAATGTAATGTTTTTAAGCATTCTACCTTTTTAGGACATGATTTGTTTAAGCAATATGTTTGAGTCTTGTGATCACTGTCTGTCACAAGTAGAGTGAAGGGTAAGAGGGTGGGAACGGGTAAAAGTCAGTTTTGACAAGTTGTGGCAAAGGAAACTATACTTTTCATTTTTTAAAAAAATGTAAATAGAAAAGTTTTTAACGGTTTTATATAGATTTCACTATAAGCATTTTAAGACTGACAAATGTTGAACTGTATATACATATATCAGCATAACTGCCCAATTTTTTGGTGCTGAAGTACTGTAAAGTAGAATTCTTCAATGGTCTCCTAATTTTTACATCTATATCTGGAAAAAAAAACCCAACTGTGATCCTATAATTAATAAATTCCCACTAGAGTGACACTGAAGATTTAAACACAGGCATTCACAGATGCACTGATCTCTTGTAGTTGTCATTATTTCTGCTACACGATAATGACTTATACCCATAGATGGAGCTGTTGGGTATTATTTTATTGTACAAATTCCTGTTTGAAAGACTTTGTGATTGTTTCTAGTTAAGTAATTTTTTTAACCTTTTGGGTCATAGACTTCTTTGAAAATCTGACGACACTTTGAACTCTCACCAAAAAGAGTGAAAACTCTCACATGCCAATATACATGTTAGGTTTTGCAATCTTTAGGGGTTCATGGGCCTCTAAGCCTATCTGTGTGTTCCAGGTTAAGCCCTCTGTTAACGGTCAGTCCATTACTTACAGATGTAAGTTTTTATAAAATAAAATATCTTTTAAATATTCGTGGATCAGGTAACAGCAAACTTGAATAAAGTCACTATGTTCTACTTCTGCATGTTCCGGCACCATAGCATATCTGTGTCCCTTTGAGAATTTAGCCTTAATATGTTTCAGCAACTAAAATGGCAAATGAAATTTCCATAGTCTGCATTTTTAAAAATTAGTATAATTTTAACAAATTATCAAATGAGGGATTTAATTTTTTTTTTCTTTTAAAAGCTGTTAATCTTAAGGGCAGCATGAATTTCAATTTATTTGACAAATATTAATTAAACATCTTCCGTGTGCTAGATGCTAGGCTAAGCACCAGGTATGTACCATAGTGAATAAAACAGACAATCCTTCCCTCATGGAGTTGACAAGCAGGGTTACCGGCTGATGAAATGGATATGAAGGCTAAAGGAAAGAAGAAACAAGAGTGGCTCTTAGGTTTCTTAATTTAGTGGGTGGATGGTAATACCATTCATGGATCTCTAGGCATCCTTTTACTGAAAATCTTAGCATTAGTTCTTTTACTGTTTCATATGTTTAAGTCCATAAATGTAAGTTTACATCATCTGTGTGAAAGATATTCCAAGATTACAATGCAAATGCTACAAAATTAATAAAACCCTAACAACTGTTATAAGCAGTGATAAGAAAAATCCGTTTGGTTTAAAGGAAACTTTGATAAATGCTTCGTACTAGCAGTTGCAGTTTATGGTGAAATTACAGAATTTAAAAAAATTAGCAGTTTTACTGAGATTACTTCACGTCATACCATTCACCCATTTAAAGTATTACAGTTCAGTGGTTTTTTAGTATATTTAGAGCTGGGCAGTCATCACTACAGTCAGTTTTAGAGCATTTGTATAGCCCCCCAAGTAAACCCTGTGTGCCTGAAACCACCACCACCCTGGCCCCAGGTATCCTCTAATCACTTCTGTCCCAATGGATTTACCTGTTCTGGACATTTCACATAAATGCAATCATATAATAGGTGGTCTTTTATGACTGTCGCCTTTCACTTGGTGTCGTGTTTTCAAGGTTCATTCATGTTGTAGTGTGTGTCAGTGCCCCATTCCTTTTTTGGCTCAGTAACAGTCCGCTGTGTAGCTATACCACATTTCGTCCATCCATCAGTTGATGGGCATTTGGATGGTTTCTACTTTGAGGCTCTTATGAATGATGCTGTATGAACATTTATGTACAAGTTTTACATAAGTTTTCAATTCTCTTGGGTAAATATCTAGGAGTGCAATGTCTGGGTCATGTGGTAAGTATTTTTAACAGTTTGAAGAACTGCCAAACTCTTTTTCTACATTGACTGCACAGTTTATATTCCTGCCAGCGGTGTCGGAGAGCTCCAGTTTCTCTGTCTTGGCCAATACTGGCTGTAATTTTAATTGTAGTTATGCTAACATAGGAAGGGTCCTGATACATATTTCCTTGGTGGCTAATGATGAGCATTTTTTTCATGTGTTTATTGGCCATTCATACATCTGTGGAGAAATGTTCTTTGCCTATTTCTTAATTGAATTATTTTCTATTTTATTATTAAAATTGAGAACTTTTGAAGTACAGAAATATTACTACTCTTAAAAGTAAATTGTTTTCTGGAAATTAATTCATCACCCTTAAAATTATAAGCAGGTTCTTGTTCTTCATCTCTAATGTAGCAAATTACTTAACATCCTTAAAAATGTATAGAGCTTTATAGTTGAAAATGCTTTTAAATACATTTCAATACACTGCTGTGATAGGAGACTTCAGTAGCGCCTGGGATGGTGCAAAGGAAATAGTGGTTAGGTTTTGAGTTCCAGGCTCCTCTGTTTACTCGTCATGTGAACTTGAAGTCACATTTTCCATAAGTCTGATCCCGTAGAATTATTGTGTAGATTAAATGAAATTGTTTATGTGAAAATGCCAAGCACAGTTGTGCTCTATTTTGTAAGTCTAAGTTTGGTGATCTATTTTTTAAGTCTAGTATTGTACCACTACCACTTAAAAAACTGGGGGCTCAGAGACAGGTGATGTACCAAACCTCACAGGTTAAATGCTAGTAGGCATCATGCTGAGCCATGAGTTGCTACTTTCTACAGAAGAGTATATTTGTGCCACCAGACACAGGACTGATCTTTGGAACATCAGAGGAACTTGGCGTTGGTCTTTAAGATGATCATTACACCAGCCTAACATGCCTTCTCTCAGAGGTGCTCAACTCAGTTTAATTATGTGTCACAAACTCCTGATAAGAGGAAGTAGAGTGAAAAAGCACCATATGGGCAAGGACTTTCCAAGAAAGGACAGTGAAAAACAGTCTTTCGCCTCTGCTTGCAGGTTTATAAGCCTTTATATAAGTGAGGTTTGATGACCTGTATATATATATATATATTGAAAAAAGAAACACTACATTTGTACTTGTGAGAAGGTCGACTCTTGCCTTTTTCTCTCTTATGTATACAGTGTACCTGAAAACATGCTTGCTTTAAAAAAAAAAAAAAAGCCTAAGTTTGATTCCTGACAAGCCATGTGAGTTTGGACAAGCTCTAAGGGGCTTAAAACAGCAGAAGATGGAATGAATTATAATTCCTACTTAAAAAAAAAAAACTGATAGGTGAGCAAATTTCCCCCAAGTGGTTCTTTCTGACTTTTTTTTTTCTCTTCCAGAAAATGTCAGTAGTTACTGTATACTTCCTTTGCGTAGACATCAGGGACACAGTTGTCAGCTGGGGGAGAAGCCCTTGTCCTCATGGAGCTTCAGCATAGCAAAGGAGATAATGTTCATCAAAGATCACACCTAGATCTATTCACTGTAAAATGCTGTGACAGAAAGTGCCATGATAGCATACAAATGGGGAGGTTGGGGAGTTTTCCTTCAGGAAAGATTGTTTAACCTGTAATCTGAAGGAAGAGGACTGATAGGCAAAGAGGAGGGCAGCAGCTGTCCAGTAGATGGACAGCAGACACAAACCCTTGCGGTGGGAGGGGACTTTTAGGCCAGGGTGGCAGCAGTTTGGAGAGCAAGGGCAGCGAGTTCAGTGGGAGTGAAAGGAGAGACCAACCTATATGGATCTTAGAGCTTGTTACAAAAGTTTGAATATTTTTTAAAAGAACAATGAGAAGTCATTAAAAAGTTTTAAGCCGTTAGCGCCAGTAAAATGAATTAATACATTTACAAAATATTTGGAGTTAACTGTTCATTGGAACAGAAAAACATTTAACATTTCTTTTTTGATGCCAGTCTCATCTCTTTATATCCCTTTTCTTTAACATCTACAATGGTTCCCCAGTCCTGTGGAATAAATCTGGTATTCAAGGTTTTTAGCCATAGTTTCACCTTAGGTTTCTAGATTCATAATTCATTTCACTACCCTGGTCTGTTGCCTATGTACCCCACCACACACACAGTTTATGCTGTGTTAGAAAATCTCGCTCATTCCTCAAAGCCCAGCTTGAATTTCACCTCCTTCACTAAGACTGCCCAGATCTCTTCAAGGAGAATTCATCCCACCCCACTGCTAGGTTCCTCTAGCATTTTGGGAGAAACGTGTGTTTACTAATCACTTATCATTAGTTACCTACTGTGAACTGTTTGTATTGTGTGTGAATCTTCCTTATAGACATCTTTTGGGGAGGGAGTCAGTACTTAGTTCAGTTCAGCTCAGTCATTTCCGACTCTTTGTGACCCCATGGGCTTCAGCATGCCAGGCTTTCCTGTCCATCACCAACTCCCAGAGCGTGCTCAAACTTAAAGTGTTGCCAATTTCATTGATCTCTTCTGATAAATGACTTGACTTCGTTGATTCTATTGTTTTTCTATTCTCTGTTTAATTTATCGCCATTCTGTTCTTTATTATTTGCTTTCTTTTGCTAGCTTTGGTCTTAACTTTTCTTCTTTTTCTAGTTCCCCAAGGTGTAAAGTTAGGTTATTGATTTTGAGACCTTCATTTTTAATATAGGCATTTACAGCTATAAATTTACCAGATGCATTACTTTTGCTATATTCCATGCATTTTAGTATGTTGGGATTTTTTTTTCCCCCATTCATCTCAGGCATTTTCTGGTTTATCTTGTGATTTCTTCAACCATTGGTTATTTTAAAATGTAGTTTAATTTCCACGTATTTGTGAATTTTCAGTTTTACTTATTTTTAAAATGTTTATTTACTTTTGGCTGCACTGGATCTTTGTTGCTTCACACAGACTTTCTCTAGATTCAAGGAGTGGGGGCTCCTCTAGTAGTGATATGTGAGTTTCTCGTTGTGGTGGCTTCTCTTGTGGAACACAGGCTCTAGGGCACACAGGCTCACTAGTTGTGATACATGGGCTCAATTTCCCCATGACGTGTAGTCTTCCCAGACAAAGGATCAAGCCCACGTTCCCTGTATTGACAGGCAAATTCTTAGCCACTAGACCACCAAGGAAGTCCCAGTCTTACTTCTTTTATTTTTTTCTTCATTCTATTGTAGATATTCTATCCATGATTGATGAAAGTGGTGAACTGAAGTCTCCACAAGTCTCTTTTATTGTGGAGTTTTTATTAATATTTGCCTCATATACTGTGGAGCTCTGTTTGGTGCATATATCCTTATAATTGTTTTGCATGGATGGAGGTGCCTGGTCGGCTGCAGTCCATGGGGTCATGAAGAGTCAGATACGACTGAGCAACTTCACTTTCACTTTTCACTTTCATGCATTGGAGAAGGAAGTGGCAACCCACTCCAGTGTTCTTGCCTGGAGAATCCCAGGGACAGGGTCGGAGCCTGGTGGGCTGCCGTCTATGGGGTCGCACAGATTTGGACATGACTGATGCAACTTAGCAGCAGCAGCAGCTTAATGAATCAACCCTTTTATCATTGTTTTATTGTGCCTATTTGTCTCAACAGTTTTTACTTAAAATCTATTTTTTCTGATATTAGTGTAGTCACCTTAGCTCTCTTTTGGTTACCATTTGTATGGAATATATTTTTCTATGCTTTCACTTAACATTCTATTTTACCTTTAGATCTAAAGTGAGTCTCTTGTGGATAGCAGATTAGATATTTTAAAATTTAGTCTGCCAGTCTTTTTGAAAGGAGAGTTAAATCCATTTACATTCATGTAATTATTAAGAAGGAAGGATTTACTTCTGCCATTTGGTGTTTGTTTTCTAAATGTCTTATACCCTTTTTATCCTCCATTTCCTCCATAACAGTCTTCATTTGTGTCAATTGATTATTTGCAGTGAAATGTTTTGACTCCTTTCTCAATTCTTTTGTGTATATTTTTTAGATATTTAGATATTTCCTTTGTGGTTACCATGGGAATTACATGGAATATCTTAAAATTACAGCAATCTAATTTGAATTGATAATTTTGATAGCATACAAAACTCTGCCCTTATATTCATTTGCCTATATAGTTATTGGGTATCTTTATTTCTTCATATGTCTTCAAGTTACTATCCAGTGGCCTTTTGTTTCAACCTGAAGGACTTTAGCATTTCTTTTAGGGAAGATCTATTGGTAATTCAGTCCCTCAGCTTTTGTTTGTTTGAAAATGTCTTAAGTTCTCCCTTATTTTTGAAAGTTTTGCCAGATATTGAATTCTTGATTGAGTTTTTTTTTCTTTTAGTACTTTTAAGTATGTCATCCCACTTCCTTCTAGACTCCATGGCTTCTGGTGAAAGATTGGCTATTGATCTTATTGTAGAGCCCTTGTACATGATAAGTTGCTGCCCTCTTGCTTCTTTCTACAATTGTTTCTTTGTCTTTTGAGAGTTTGATTATGATGTGTCTTAATGTGGGTCTATAAGTTTATTCTACTTGAAGTTCACTGAACTTGAATATGTAGATTCATGTCTTCATCAACAAACTTGGGAAATTTTCAGTTATTATCTATTCAAATATTTGTTCTGGCCTTTCCTCTCTTATTCTGGGACTTCCTTAACGCATGCTGCTACTGCTAAGTTGCGTCAGTCGTGTCCGACTCTGTGCAGCCCCATAGATGGCAGCCCACCAGGCTCCCACGTCCCTGGGATTCTCCAGGTAAGAACACTGGAGTGGGTTGCCATTTCCTTCTCCAATGCAGGAAAGTGAAAAGTGAAAGTGAAGTTGCTCAGTCGTGTCTGACTCTTACCGACCCCATGAGACTGCAGCCTACCAGTCTCCTCTGTCCATGGGACTTCCCAGACAAGAGTACTGGAGTGGGTCACCAACACCTTCTCTGCCATAATGCATATATTGATCTGTTTACTGGTGTTCCATAGGTCTTGTAGACGCTATTCATTTTTCTTCATTCTCTTCTCTTTCTGGTCCTCAGACTGGATAATATCAGTTGTTTTATCTTGAAATTCAGTGATTCCATCTTCTACCTTTTCAAATTTGCTGTTGAACCCTTCTACTGAAGTTTTTTTAAGAACTTACCAGCATATCCCCCATTTTCACAGCCCATTGCTACCACCATGCTACTCTCTGCTTTTATGAGTTGTACTTTTTTAGATTCCACATATATGTGAGATCATGCAGTAGTTGTCTTTCTGTACCTTGCTTATTTCACTTAGCATCTTCCAGATTCATACATGTTGAAAATGAGTTTTATTCTTTTTAAAAGCTGAATAATATTCCATTGTATATGTATACAAGAGAGTTCCAGAAAAACATCTATTTCTGCTTTATTGACTATGCCAAAGACTTTGACTGTGTGGATCACAATAAACTGGAAAACTCTGAAAGAGATGGGAATACCAGACCACCTGACCTGCCTCTTGAGAAACCTGTAAGCAACAGTTAAAACTGGACATGGAACAACAGACTGGTTCCAAATAGGAAAAGGAGTATGTCAAGGCTGTATATTGTCACCCTGCTTATTTAACTTATATGCAGAGTAAATCATGAGAAACGCTGGGCTGGAGGAAGCACAAGCTGGAATCAAGATTGCTGGGAGAAATATCAATAACCTCAGATATGCAGATGACACCACCCTTATGGCAGAAAGTGAAGAAGAACTAAAGAGTCTCTTGATGAAAGAGGAGAGTGAAAAAGTTGGCCTAAAGCTCAGCATTCAGAAAACTAAGATCATGGCATCTGGTCCCATCACTTCATGGCAAATAGATGGGGAAACAGTGGCAACAGTGGCTGACTTTATTTTCTTGGGCTCCAAAATCACTGGAGATGGTGATTGCAGCCATGAAATTAAAGGATGCTTACTCTTTGGAAGGAAAGTTATGACCAACTTAGACAGCATATTAAAAATCAGAGACATTACTCTGTCAACAAAGGTCCCTCCAGTCAAGGCTATGGTTTTTCCAGTAGTTATATATGGATATGAGATTTGGACCATAAAGAAATCTGAACGCTGAAGAATTGATGTTTTTGAACTGTGGTGTTGGAGAAGACTCTAGAGAGTCCCTTGGACTGCAAGGAGATCCAACCAGTCCATTCTAAAGGAGATCAGCCCTGGGTGTTCATTGGAAGGACTGATGTTGAAGCTGAAACTCCAATACTTCGGCCACCTGATGCAAAGAGCTGACTCATTTGCAAAGACCCTGATGCTGGGAAAGATTGAAGGCAGGAGGAGAAGGGGACTACAGAGGATGAGATGGTTGGATGGCATCACCAACTCAATGGACATGGGTTTGGGTAGACTCTGGCAGTTGGTGATGGACAGGGAAGCCTGGCGTGCTGCAGTTCATGGGGTTGAAAGAGTCCGACACGACTGAGCAACTGAACTGAACTGGACTGTGTATGTATACAACACACACCCTTTCTGTATCCATTCATTTGTTGATGAACAAATGCCTTAACTATTGAGAATAATGCTACAATGAACATGGAGTACAACTATCTTTTAGAGATACTCTTTTTATTTCCTTTGGATATATACCCAGTAATGGAATTGCTGCACCATATGATAGTTTTATTTTTAATTTTTTAGGAACCTTTATACCTTTTCCATGATGTTTTCATTTTAATAATTATTTATTTCATCTCCAGAATTTTTGTTTGGTTCCTTTTTATAATTTATTGATATTATCCTTGGTTTAGACATCACTTTCCTTCATTTCTTTGTCCATGTTATTCTTTAGCTCTTTGAGCATATTTAAGACAGTTATTGTAAAGGCTCTGTGTAGTAAGTCCAATGTCTGAGTTTTCTGGATGACTTTCAGTTAATTGATTTTGTACTGCTGAATGGATTGTACTTTACTCTTTATTTATATACTTTTATTTTTTTATTGAAAAGTGAACCTCTAAATATTAAGATATGGCAACTCTATAGACATCAGATTTTCACTTTCCCCCAGGATTTGAAGGGTTTTTTGTTTGTTTTGTTTGGCATGTTTTGTTTTTTATTTTGATTGTTAAAGGCTATAGTGGTTCACTTGTCTAGTGACTTCTCCTAACTTCTTTCCCCCCAGCCAGAAATTGTTTTCTTTTTCATGTGTGGTCACTGAAGTCTCTATTCCTCAGCATGTATTCAACTAGTGTTTTGACAGAAATTTCCTTGAACCCTAGGAGCTAAGCAAATACACACACACATACACACCTCCTTGTGTTTGCAGACTAACTTTGTGCTGTGGCCCTTCAACACTTAACCAGACTTCCACTGAACTTAGAGTCCATCCTAATGTGAAGCTTGAGGTCTCAGGCTTTTTCCTAAGTATGTCCATGGCTTTCTAAATTTCTCCTAATGTACAAGTGCTTTTGAATGCCCTAATTTAAAAAAAAAAACAACAAATGACTCCCTACTCTTTTTTCCCAGTCCTTAGGTGATTTATTGATGGTTGGTGTCTCAACCAAATCTTGTTCTTCAGGTGTGTGTAGGTTGTCTTTCAGCCATACCATGTTTTCAAGCAATGTCTGCTGCTTTTTCAGCCTGAGTGAGTTTTTATTTAAGTGAGACAGCAGTGAGTGCTTTGCTTTGGTCCTTCAAATAACCCTGAGGCAGCTTAGAACAGATGTACACAATAATTTGCAAATACGGTTTGCTGTCCTCCTCCCAGAACCAGGGACCAGGCTCCTACACTGGTAACTTGACATCTTTAAGCCAAATCAGGGAGAGTGGGATGAAGGCTAGTAAAATGCCATAAATCTTTCCTGCTTTTTTTTTTTCCTATCTCATTTTTTTAAAATTCTGGTAAAATATACAGAAAAAAAATTTACCATTTTAAGTACACAATTCATGTACACATGTACATTCAGATTGTTGTACAACCACTACCACTGTCTGTCTCCAGAACTTTTTCCTCATCCCCATTTGTTACCTGTTATATAGTAATTCCTATTTCTGTGCCCCACACCCAGCCCCTTATTAACCATCCTATACTTTTCAAGTTGCCATTTGCTTGATTCATCATTTGGTTATTGCTGTAAACCTTTGACTGCATTCCAGAGTCTGACAAATTGGTTCTGACAGTTTCTGCTTATTTTTCAGTGTTTCTGTGGGACCATGGGAGCTTGGAGTTGACTACCATTTATCTGCTATCACCATCAAGATTTTGTCCTGAGCAGTTTGGAAGAGTAGAATAGCTATTAACTGAAGTAGGAAAGACTTTGGGAAGATTAAATTTTGAAAGAGGGTATCAAGGGTTCAGTTTAGCATAAATTATATTCAAGATACCTATAAATAGGTAGGGGAAAAAAAGAGGTACAAGGGCTGATCCCTGGGCAGTCCAGCACATAAAGGTCAGGAAGATGAGGCAGAATCAGAAAAGGAGACAGAAGAAATGACCAGAAGGATGGGAGGTGAAGCTGGAGACTGATGTGGTAGTATCTAGGAAATAGCTAAAGAAAGTTGCTAAGTCAAAATGACAACTCACAGAACTAGTCATGTGAAGTCATTGGTGACTTTGGGACGAGCAATTGTGGTGGAGTTAGGGACAAAAGCTAGAGAAGAATATGAGGAGGAAACTGAAAACTGAGAATAAAGATAATGAGTTGCTATAAAGAGGAGCAATTGCTAGAAGACAAGTGAGATCAAGACGTTTGTTTTTTGTGTTTCGTAACTTAAGAAAATGGGATTCCTGATGGAATTGATCCAGTGGACAGAAAAAAGTTTATAATGCAGGAGAGAGGAGAATTGCTCATGTACTGTTCTTGACTAGTGGGAAGAGAAGGGATTTGTGGAGGTGTTGGGTTCATCCATTACAACATAAGAGAAGTAAATTCAGGAACAGGAGGGTAGGTGGGGAGATAACATTTGCTTCAATTTTCTGCTGAGTCTCAAATCCATACCTATAATATTATCTCTTCCCAGAGCCAAAACCCACTACCTTGATGCATCCCCAACTGGATTTCCTAAAAGTACTTCAGCCTCAGGCTGTCCCAAACCAGAATAGATCAATTCCTTTTCTTCTAATTTATGGTTTCATTCATTAGCAACCCCAGAGCTGATGCTGGAAGGAGGATAGATATCTTCCATGGGCCAGACAGTAGGAGAATGGAATAGGTAAGATAACCCAGAGATGGTGGGAAATCGGGGTGTGGGGTGACTAGGGAGCAGGGAGCTCAAAGCAGGCCCGTGGAAACTATTACACACCCAGAGGTCAACAGTGCATTCTGTCAGGGTCTCATGGAGTTATCCATGGTTTTTAAAATGATCTAAAGGTCTATTTATCTTCAGTTTTTCTCCGTAGCATTAGATTGTTAACCAGCTGGAAAAACCTGACAAACGGTTTGCCTCCTGGGCCTTGTATTCCTTCCTACTATACTGTACTTACCCCTGGCCAAAACCCCTATTGACCAAAACCCCTTCTCTCCCTCCATCCACAAGGTCACTT